AATCCACTCAATTCACCGAGTCACCAGTCATCGACCTCCCTTTATTCCTGCCAATCCCCTTACCACCTCGAAAACCAACTGAGGTATCCCAGCATTCTTCAACTTCTGACAGACAAGACTTTGGAGGAGGACAATCCCTTTCCTACAATGCTTCGGGTCCAGGGCAGTCATCTCCAAGTGGTCCGGACATCGATCTCACTGTTGCCGAGAACACAACATGCAAATCCCCAAGTGCATCCTGTTACAACAGTGTGGTCTCTCCCATCATTGATCTCACTGCTGAGGACCTGAGCGCACAGGCCGAGTCTTCTGCCATGGGCGCTCAGCACCACGGCAAGCGCCAGGGTATTGATACATACAACGACGACATTATCTACATTAGTGATTAAAGCATTCAACGTGGCTGTTCTTACATGAATCGAGTCCAACAAGAGTGTATGATTTATTGAATAAAAGTATATGTACTTGACAGAAAATTGTATCTAGTTAAACAATGCGATTGAGAAGTACTTCAAAATCACTCTCATATCTCCCCTCACAATACTATTCAGTCAAATTCTCTTTCCCCACCAAAATTCCAACAGACGAGCCTGAGCATCGATGAAGAGAGGGGGAGCAGTGATTGATGAGCGGCACGTGGTGGAGAAGACGGAGGGTCGCTTCGAAAAGTCGGGGCAAAGGGGTGGTGAGGGCGGTTGGGATGCGAGGGATATGAAGGCGGGCAGGGAAAGTGCGCGTGAAGCAAAGAGACAACGGAGGATGGTAACGGAGGAGCGGGGACGGAGAGTCGAGTGGCCCGCGCCCATGCCAAAGCGATGTGACGACGACGGGCAGCCACCTGCCAAAGCGTGGTGACGAGCTGGAGCGAGGCCGGAGGACGAAAGCAGCTTAAACGCTGTGACGAGGGCGAAAAGAAATGGCTGACATAAGGTGTCGAGCGGTGACGCCGAGCTGGGACGGCGTCACCCCGTCACGGGGAAAGCGCCTGAGAACCACTGTCTCCAGCTACGCTTCTTGTGCAGCATGCTACGTCACAATCCAGAAATTCACACCGCCGCTAATATCGTGGCATGTACCAGTGTCAAGTGGCCCGATGCGCTGAACAATGGCGCTGAACTATGTCCGCTGTAGAAGGAGCTGGTTGATTCTCTTACGCTTTACCCAGATAGCTAAGTCTTTTATCATTCATTCTCGATGGTGACCAAACTTCGGGAGGCCAATGCGTAGGATGTTCACACCAAGAGTACAGACACCCGCAACTTTCGACAGCTTCAACTGTGAGTCTTCCGTTTACGTGAAATTCTTTCTCTACACTCATATAAGTATCGAATTTCAAGCACTTTCCACAATCTGAGTCTTGTTTCCAGCTACTGCTCAGAACTTGATGTGTCGCATGCATGGCAAATCTCTCCCGGTGAAGTCATATTGGCCGGGGAGAACGTGCGACTGTGAACCCAACAGTTGGGGAGGTTCTGGCTACGAAGGTATGTCAAATCCTTCACGGACGGTCACTGCGTCGACTTACCAGCATTGAAGCGAAAGCTCGGCGGCTTTGTTGCACAAAAGGTTAGTGACTTTGAATAGTGGAATGGTGCTATAGACCGCTTACTGAATGTGATAGCAGACAGCTTCCCCAACGCCCACGTTCTCGCACCACCTCACCGTCCTGCAGTAGGAGTTTTCGCTTATGTTGTCATTCGTGACGGCGGAGATCTCGCTTGTCGTCGTGCTACTCACGAACGTAAGTCATTGTTCTCTCATCAGTGCCATTTCGTCGGCTTACCTTCATTTGACTCCTTTTTTGCACTCTAGGCTTTATTGGATGATCTCGATATCAGGTCAGGGTCGTCGTTTAACCCGTAGATCAAGGAAGAAAACTTACTTGACGTTTCTAGTTGGGGAGAATGGATTCTTCGTCAATGTATGCCTCTACCCTGCGACCGCAAGCGCCCACTGTCAATCCCTTTGCCCACAACCATTCAGGAGTATCAACGAAGCATGTGAGTTCTACAATAAGAGGTATTTTAGTTATGATAAAGTTCAGTTGCCAACGACTTACGCAATGTCAAAGGCGCTATCGGTCTCTCCGACCACCACAACATGGCAACTGTCCTCGTTGACTCCATAAATCCTTTCGTCCGCGCCGCTTGAAAGCATCGGTGAGGTAGTAGTATCTCCCGGGGAGAATGTGCGACCGTGAACCCAAAAGTTGGGAAGGTTCTGGCTACCAACGTACGTGAAATGTTTCACGCACAGTCACTGCGTCAACTTACAATTCTGTAAAGTTGTAGAAGACTTACCAAATATCCAAGCAGCCGTCGATGTGTCGTCCGTCGCCTACCAGTCAATCACCATCATCGCCTGAAACCAAGCCATCGCCTGAAACCAAGCCATCGCCTGAAACCAAGCCATCGCCTGAAACCAAGCCATCGCCTGAAACCAAGCCATCGCCTGAAACCAAGCCATCGCCTGAAACCAAGCCATCGCCTGAAACCAAGTCATCGCCCTCGCTCGCCAACCCTTGCTAAATGGTCGTCACCACCTCACGTTGGTCTGTCCGGCGTGTTGTCGTCGAATGTAGCTGGTATGCGTGGAGCGAGACGAGGCCCGAGGGAGAAGATTGAAACGTCGGGGAAGAAGATGAGGTTGGGCTATGTAACTGTTGGTACTCTGCAGGTTGTCGCTGGCATTAGATCTCGAGAGCTCGGAGAACAGTAGAATAACGCTCAAGTCTAAAGGCCGCAATACAATCACACTGTGACAAGATTTTCCCACTGTCCCTGAGAGCCTCAAACAATGGCGCTGAAAAGCACTCCCAGCCCACGTCCGATACCCGCTCCAGCTTGTAGGTGTCGGAGGAAGTTCGAGGAGTGGGGTAGGGCCGGTTGGAAGATCCTTAGAAACTCGAGCTGGCCGCTCTACAACTCCATTGCGTCATTCATTACCTTATTTATAGCCGCAGTGGGGAATGCCTCACGCAATTCCCACCATGCGTGCCACACCCCTTCTTCGCAATGCACCCGCTATCGCGTCAGCAGCTCTCCGAGAACGTGTTCGTCGACCAGCTTATCTGAGCAAACTCGCGAATCTGAGGGATTTGGCTCCGCTTTTCAGGGTGATCCTTATTTTTCCGACTTCTTTGGACACCATCTCATTGCACACTTTGACAGAACGATGACTATGTATGTACTTATGAACTACATCAACTCTCTCACCTAATCGAGCTCTATAGATTGGATGGTCTGGGTTCACTGGCGTTGGATATCCCAAACTTGTCCCAACGGTATGTTTCACCCATCTTTCGACTATAAAGCTTATGATTGTCAGGCAATGGCTGACTTGGCGGAAGAGAACAAGATGCAAGAAAACTCCAAGAAAAAGTTCAACCTCTTCATAGGCGCTTCTGTCGGGCCTGAGGTTGAAGATCGCTGGGCATTCCTGGACATGTCATGCGACCGTATTCCAAACTCTCGAGCCCCACTGATTGTACACTTTTCAGGATTGGTCGTCGATACCCACATCAAGTTGGAAAGGAGGTCGCAAGGGGCATCAACGCCAGTCGGATTGAATTCCCCGACAAGCATCTTTCCAGTGGGTCTTCTTCACCACTGAATCGGTCTACTGACTCTAACATGACAAACAGTGTTCCCTCAGGACTTGACCTACGGTTATTGCAGTCTCAGAAAGAAGCATGGCGATCCGAAGAAACCACTTGACTGGGCAATCGTGGAGGCGACGGCGATCACAGAAGATGGGAGCATCGTTCCCGGTGTGTCTCCTCACTTCCTAAGGGTCTCCTTAAAGTCAAATTCTGACTGGTTGTTAGGTGCATCCGTGGGTGCCACCCTGGAAATAGTGCAGAGTGCGGAAAAGATTATCATTGCAGTCAATAGCCACATTCCCAGCCTCGAAGGGCTACACGACATCAACCACTCTTTCACGCCGCCAAACCGACAACCCTACGTCAGTCATCTTTTTGAATTGGCCGTTTGTCCTCACTCAGCCCAAACAGCTCGTCAATCACCCTATGGACCAGATAGGTCTCACATACATCCCCATCGACCCAGATCGTGTAGGCGCCATTGTTGAGTCCCTCGAGCCCGACAACACGGGCAAGAACGCGCCTGAGGTTCGTCCCTTCCCTCGCTTTCCTTCCGTTCGCTCTAATCACCAATAATGTAGAACGATCAAAGTCGCGCCATTGCAGGCTATTTGATCAATTTCTTGTCGATAGGGCGCTGCTGGCCGCTTCCCCAAGTCACTTCTACCCCTTCAATCTGGCATTGGTAACGTTGCCAATTCTATTATTGGTGGTTTGGCGGAGGGTCCTTTCGAGCAAGTGCAGGTTTGGACTGAGGTATTACAAGGTAGGCCGTTCTTGATGATTTCTTAACGCTGTTTAATCCACTGCAGATACCTACGTTCATTAGATATTAACTCGGTGGCCAACTTAGGACTTAATAAAAGTAGGTGGAGGTGGTGGTGAGAGGTCAGAGGTCAGTCACAATCGTTACACGTTATACACGTTACGCACCAACTTTTACGCACGGTTTCCCATAGCCACAACGTCCATCCACAAATTCACAAGCTCAAGGTTGGCTTCAATCTGGACTTGTTGACCTACGTTCTGCAGATCATCACGCCATTTTAAACGATGTCGACGGTATAAGAAAATAGTAGGTAAGTGATTCAAACGCGGAACGACGCTAACGAACCTTTTAGAGTCTCATCGACGGCCCAAGGCTATCGTTACGTGGGAGATGCGATGAACGAGCTTGGATCAGGTAAGTAAATATTGTGTGGTCGAGGGGAAGTGAACAACTGATATACCTTTTGCAGAACCAATTTCTATATTCACGACCACCCTCAGCGCAACGCCTATCCCGCTCATCTTAGCCAGTGCCGTCGAAATTCATCTGTGAAAGACGAAAACGTACAAAGGCAGAATTATGCACTACGCAGGAATGGCTCCCGTGCGCGAAAGACGCAGAACGCTTCAAGAAAAATTCAAGTCAGGTCATTCCAAATCAAAGTATGTACAACCGTCAGACCCTTGATGAATATTTTTTCTGATAGTTGAATGTCCAAAATGAGAGGAGAAGGAATACACATTCGGTGGTCGTCCACACCCGAATGAATCTACGCGCTTTGGTACTTCCTTCACAGGTAAGTGTATTATGATTTTACCATATGAATAAACAAGTTTTAAACCTTCCTTTATCACAGAACCACGAAACCGTATTATTGGAGAGTTCAAACAGTAAGCACGAACACCCGCTCACAAATTTCTTGCACCAAAACTGACGAACTCACAAGCTCAGGACATCGGGAATACTACCCGAATAGGACTCTGACACGTCAAGATGGAATATCCATCTGTGCGGTTTAAGCGCGATGAAGAATCGAGGGAGGAGGAGCATATCCTTACATTGTGCAGAATGTACGTCCCTATGCTCTGTCAACGCGAATCGCTGATGCTATTCAGGATTTAGGCAAAGAATGTGAGATATTCTTGTCCACGTCTGGCATGCTGCGAATGGAGGAATGTGAGGAATGGTACGAAATACGGGAAACAACGCGCCCGCCACAATCTTCCACTAACAGAACTTACAGGTATTAGTGCGATGGATCTGGAATTGAGGGAGGAGGAGGGAGCTATCATTCTTTCTCTAAAGGTACGTACGTCTGCGTGCACCACTGTGCCCATTTGCCGTGGAGAAGCGTTAAATAATACATTTAGGAGTAGATATGTGAGTTGCGCTTGGACAAAAACAATACACTGCGAATGGAGGAAGTTAGGGAGTGGTACGTATGATGCGTGCTGTGGCACGCTAGTATCTTTCACTGACAAAAGTTCTGGAAATTCAGAGGTACAGGCTTGGTGGGGTCCTGAAGGGGGCTCTTACACGTAGGATTGTCAGCCTTACCAAGGTGTTTCAAGCGAGATCCTGAAATTAGAATCATGGGAGTCGAAATGTGGCAAAATTATTGACTCCGAGTAGCTTGCATCACGGCTGCCTCAATAAGTGGTGTATAAAAAATTCCAATAGTTGTAATACATAAGAGACTCGCGTCAGAAATATTTTTCAAGATGATAGCGGTGATGGTGGAGTGTAAGGAAACCCTGTAATTGCTGGGTGAATGCAAATAGAACTATAGGAAAGAAGGGTATGTGATTGTTACAATGACGACGGCGTTGACAACGTTAAAAAAATAAAGGTCTACCAACTAAATGCGCACAGCATCCTGATAGTAGTTGAATCTGACGCGGAAGCCGAACCACGCTACAAACTCGATTAACACAAGCAAACCGCCTGTTAAATCGACCCCAGCTACCAGACTAACCGAGAAAGCTGCAGTTGGGAAAACCCCATTCAACGTCCGATCGCCAAAGGAAAAGAGAAGGCCATTTCTACTGCATCATCGAAGTCCACTTCGGAAACGGCTGAAACGGATTCCCTTGCCGACGAAGACCAGATAATGGCTGAAGTGGATGATGCGTAGGTGTAACAGACCGAAGTATGGCTTACCTAAACAACTGGACAAAAGCAAGAGAATGAATTTTACTTAGGTTCAAATGTCATATTTCAAAGGGCTTTACTACTTGTACTATTAAGCAAGTGAATCCAACCGGTTTTTTATTGGTTTTTTACGCAAAGCAGCAAAGGTGAGGAGAAGAGTGTGTGACCAGGTCACGTGTTACGGATCAATAACCTTCAGCGAAACCGAGGTTGTCCGCGCAATTTAAAAGCCACAATAACTCATATACATATTTTGAAACTGGGAAACATTATTTTGGATGTTATAATGTCGCCGTGCACAAACCAATTTTATTCAGTTACAAGCCGAGAGCAGATCCTGGATACTTGGTCAGAGGATCGGACGGTGCCGTACTCGGCATTGCCCGTGACCTGGAATTTTCACCCTGACGAAGCAAGTGGTTTTAGTCTTCATGCTGATCTTTGCCGCCAGGATGAGACCTATACAGATTGAGATTCGTACCCATACGGCTTATTCTGTAGCAGACAAAGAACTTTTTAACTCAACGACCGAGGTGAAACCAAGATGACTCGTGTTCGAACAACACAAGCGTTCAAAATTTATATAATAAGTTACGGTGCGCTAGCAGTATCAGCCAGGAATTTAGATCAAAATTCATCTGGCATCGTGATTTCCGCCTGTCTCGAGGGTATTCTGGCTTCTTTGCCTTGTCATTCTTTTACGTACATCGGCAATGACAAGCTTATCTTATTTTTTATTCTATGTTTGCAAAATGTGCTATGTCAAACCCCAATTGCGAGTTGAATGAAGACGCCTATCACCTCTCTGCCGGTGGACGACTGACATACTTTGGCTGATAGCCTTTGAATGTGCGATCTTCCAGTCCAAAAACCTATGACCACCGCGTCAATTGCACCCCGCATTTCGTTGTGGTGTAAGAGTCGGGGAACAACCCTATATACGATAGTTATTAGTGCAAGTCGGGGGAGTTTGAAGAAGCATTACTTACCTATGCACATAAAACCATTTGGTTAGACGATGACACCGTCTCGATTTACACACGGCGAACTTCTGTAGATATAAAATTCACGCGACGATCTATAATAAACCCTACATACCTTGCTTGCATAGCTGCAGCTCCGCTCCAGTCTTGAAATCGAGAAGTTGGTCCCAGTTCTTCACGCCCTTTGACAGTATCAAATATGACTGATAACTACTATGTGAGCGGAAAGGCAGGATGGAAGGCGGCGAAACGTACGCATGTTGCGTATTGCGTGTTTGATGATAGCGAGGCGTGTGAGACGGCTGTAAGAGGATCAATGTGGAGGAAGTGAAGGGTGCGTGAATTACGGAAATCGAGCCACGAGAGAGGTCCTTTGCCCCAGAAATCGGATCACTCCAATGTTTCTCAATTCCTGAACCTTCCTCCTGCCGCACAATCTCGCCCTGCGTAAATAAAATACTGGTAAACGTCGGCCCAGATCAGACAGATCATGCGGCGACCAGGAGGAGAAGCTCGACGGCAGACCATCCACGAACGATGGACACGCGGGTCTTGCACACAAACACCGAACCATCACCTGGCTTTGATTCACATTTCTGTGCCCAGTTCGGCGAAGTTGGTGAGAGGGGGAAGTTCGTCTGATGTTGGACTCGAACATATCTACCAGGCAAAGAGTTTCCAGTTTTGATAGAGGGCTCGCACGTGGACGGTAGCGCCAAAATGGAAATTATTGTTTGTGTTGTAGGTCCACGACGATTTGAGAGTATAGCTCTAGTATTGCAGACTCTAGTAAGCAGAAGTTCTCGAGAGGGATGTCCATCGGAAATACTGCACATACATCAGTGCGATGTCAAGCGAAATTTCCATACATCAGTAATTCTGTCTAACCCGCTTCTTTCCCAAAAATTATCAGCGAGAATTTGAGATCGCATATCCTTGGACGAAGAATGCGTTGGAGGTGAATGTGCGACCTTGACCGTTTCGAAGTCCGAAAACATTCATTACATAAATGTCCTGCAACTTTTTTGGTTTTTTTTGACGTAGTAAACCTAAAATAAAAACATAAGATGTGCCCAATGTGTGTAAAAGAATGACATTTGTGGTTCAGAGAAGCCAGAATACCCGCGGGACTTGCGGGGGACAGGCGGAAATCACGATGCCAAATAAATTTTGATCTAAATTCCTGGCTGATACTGCTAGCGCACCGTATAAGTAGTATGGTAACTACCACTTGTAACTTACGTGAGTGGTTGATTTGGCTTCGCTTGTGACAATGGGGAAATCCGCGGGTTGTGCTTGAGTTTCGGAGTTCGCGAAGTCAGCCTATCGCGGTTTTGAGGTTCTGGAAGGATGGGTTCGTTGGCTGTTATTCTGAGGGACGGGCATCTTATCGAGGTGTTTCAGCTACGCCAGGCTCCTGAGGTTCTTTTTGGTGGTGGGGGGGAGGCTCATGAAACGTGGCTTCGCAACCGCAACCGAGTTCTTCAGATTTGGAGCAGAGTGGGTCTGTGTGACATTTGTACGATTTGCGTCGTGGCAGGATGTTGGCGGTGGTTGAAGGTGTAGATTCGGCTCAGGATGGGCGGTGGTTGGCGATTGGGACACGGAATAGGGCGGTGCATGTCTTTCCCGTGAACCCGCAAGGTGGATGTGTGGGGTCATTTGAAAGGGAGGGTGCGGAACGTGAATATTTGAATGTCTACTGAGCGAATAGATGACAAAGGTCATCGACTTGGTGTCCTGTGCTGTTTCCAAACCATTCACATCAGCCCATGAAAGGTACGAAGACGAAATGACGTACATAATCCCAAGAAATGGCCTGTCCTCCCTGAAAGAATCGGACTTATCCCTCGCGAAAGCCAAGCGGCATAAACCACCCTCCCCACGTCAAACCCCAACTCCTTCCACTGCACGCCTGAAAACTTGAGGTTGAGAACTTCAGTGACGGCGCCTAGGTCCGTACGGTCCAGCACCAAAGGCCGGATGGGATGTAGGATAGGATGAGGAGACGCCTGTAGGGAGATGTAGGGTTGAGTAAATCGTTCGAAGAAGAAGAAATCGAAGACTGACTTATCGCCCAACAAATCCCACCTCGCCCGCGAGATCAAATCCGCCTTACGCGCCGGAGCATATGCTAGTTCCGCGCCCCCTCCTCCTGCAGTCGTTCTCACTTCTCCGGCACCAAGATCGACAATCCCTTGTGCAGATTCATCTTCTTCACCAAGATCAATGACCGCTTGTCCGGGTCGACGTGGACGATCGAGTACTTGGGCAGCGTGGAGCAGTTAGAAGTTAGAACCAAGTACGTTGAAACTGATGGCCTGTGGGAGTCTTCCGGCTATCTGAGGCAAACACGTCCAAATGTGCACGTTCGGGAAGAATGACATCATTGGGATGTATTCCGGCTATCCCTCTCGAACGATTGACGTCATCCGCACACATTCCGGCTACTTCAATTTTTTACGCGCCCCAACTTCATTGTTGGACTCTTCTCAAGCTTGAGATCTCGGTATTTTTTGATGATGTTGCATCATCTTGTCTGAAAAAAGAGGCCAGATATGATTTGGCGCAAATTCGGCCAAGTTGCTCCCAAGCACTCCCAAGTGACGCCGATTTAACTGCGCTCGCTCAATTATTATTATGTTTGGCTACTACATACATGTAGACTACAGTATCTACAGAAGTGGCCTTTCTTGACGTAGTCAGATCCAAATAATGAGACCAATATGGGGGTTTGGGAGAAAAAACGCACCCAGTGCAACGGCGCGTCTTCGACCCCAGTCGCTCTTGTTGAAGTGAGGGACGTTCTGTCTTTGTTACCCTTCTCGTCCTTGATCCCCTGAATCTGCAAAGGAAAAAGCAAGTTTTATCTGATCCTGGGTTAGTATGACGTTTGAGAATCAATGACGACCACACTCACAGCAGCAGTGCACGGCGCCAACCCCCCAGCTAGGCACAACAAAAACGGCAGTCGCCACCTCCGTTTGGATGCGAATGGGTTCGGATTATGGGCATGGCGAAGACGTTGGTGGAATTCTTCGTACGAGCGCGGTGAAGGCAGTGCAGATGTATTTGAGTGCCTGGGTAGGGTAAAGTAGTGAGTCATTCCTGTTGAGACATAGATAAGCCGTGTTTTGTTGTAATGATACTCGACGAATGCTTGCTTTTTGACCCCCAGTGCATTTCATGTAGATCGGACAACTGGTGCAGCAGAAATAATTGTTGATCAAGCGTCAAATAAACGAGACAACTTATGATCGGCGGAAGGTTCGGGAGAAGCTCGGGACAGCTTTAAGAATTGTGAGCGATTCAACAGTAATGAATGCCTTCCCGTATTAAGAATCTGAAGACGTCGGTTTTTATCATCGATGGTCGTGACGACTGCCAGCGAGGATTTGGGTTTTCAAATCCTAAGCGACGGGGTCATTGAAGGCAGTCTTTCAGAATTTAGACGGGGATCGTACCGGTACTTAGACACCAACGCAAGGACAGCTTGAGGCGCGATGTGAAGACGCCGGCGGGCATCAGTGAGCGCCTACATTCAACAGCAGTCAGAGTTTTTATTTTCTTGCCTAATTGTGAATTTTCGATGAACGTTCGTTCATTCATGATGTAGATTCAAAAAGCGTCGATTGGGGAGAGAAGGACACGAAAGACTATTCCCTCAGATCTAGACATCTGTTGATTAAAAGTACAGCCAAATTAGCGTTTTGGTTGTCGATAAAAAGAAGTATGTCCCATCACACCCAAATCCATCTGGAATAGCCTGGCAGTATCGCCAGCATTGGTCGGGAGTATTAACGTTGAAACACGTCGCAGTGTATCCCTGGATGCAAAACGGGATTGGTGAGTCGCAGGCATTGCTGCAGACTTCCTTGATGGCTGTTGCAGGAGCCGCGGTGTAAAGGGTGGCGATGAGACAGATAGCGATTGAGAAGAGTTTCGTGGTTGTGTTTTACTGGTTTAAGTCTGACCATGAGTGGAGAATCAAAGGTGGGATGTCAAGGGACGTACTGAGGGATAGTATATGTTAGAGAAGAGTACCGTGGCAGAAGATTGAAGGAGGTTTTATACTGATCTTATCCGGGGCTGTCGGGCGATAAAAATCTGGGATCGATGTTTATCTTTCCAAAGAATGAACACATTACAGGAAAAATACTTATCTGCTCATTTTCGACAAGTGTACGTGGGAGCCACCAAGCAAACACCAAGTTGTTTATCGTTGGGCGGGCGGGCGCCCGCCGCCATGACGCAAGCGCCTTCTGGTTGTAAGCTTTATTGAGCGGAGAGGTATACCCTCGCAAATCTTTACAAGGAAACTGATTTTCTCGGACACTAAGGTCGAATGCGATGAATGAGGAATCAAGAGTCGTTCGTGGGCAGAAGCATCGCGATGGCTAGTACTCTTGGTCACGCGTGACAGCTCTTCTTCTCTTACCATCATCATCTCCGCCAGCAATGACAGCGACGACGAACAACGTTGATGCGATACAGGAGGTAAGCGCCATCTCGCCCTGCTATGCGATCCCTCGCCTCATCGTGCTGCAGGACCGTCTCGTCGAGCTGACGGAGATGGAGCGAAACAACTCAGAGATGACCGACGATTCGCCGTTTACCTCGGCTTTGACGACACCTGTGGATCAAGATGTGCCCATCAATGTCTTTCAGGGGATACACGAGGCCCTTGCGAGAGATATGGACGGCTCAGCGGTAGACTCGTACTTTGATTCGAAGGCTGTAGGCAAAGGCGCGGATATCGCGCAGGTATCGCAGCAGTTAGAGGAAGGAAGGGTGGTTGAGGTTGAGGTTAGCTTTATGCTTCTTTCAACCGCGGAACCGTTTTACAGCCATCCATTAGATAGCCCCAGACGCAGCGTTGGAACTGGTGGCGACGTTGGTCCCGGAAGCAATTTTGGCCCCGTAGGCAACGTTAGCGCCAGAAACAACGTTATCCTCAGAGACGTCGTCGTCATTGGTGGTAGAAGACACGACAACCGACAGGCCTTCTCTTTCCCCGTTATACCAAGAACCGAGTCCTATGGTTGGGGATTTGAATGAGGTTCGGGTTATCAAGATTTGGAGGCAGCTTCTCTGACTTTGTCTCACAAGGAGGACCGCGTGGAACCCCCCGCATTACGTTTAGAAGGCAGCCCCACTGTCCCGCAGCCGAGCGATGTAAGTTGAGTTCCCAGTTCTCATTTTAGCGCTCACAGGTCGGTGTAGTCTGGTGATCTTTTACCCCGTGCCTTCTCTTCCGGATACATCAGCCAGGATGATACCAGCTCACCATACTTCTCTTCTCCCGACATCGATACCCAACCGGCGGTAATTTATGTCCTTTTTTCGAGTAATATTGACCAAAGCATCCTTCTCAGACCATCTATACGCTGCCGAACAGACCCATTTTGGTAGAGAGCCTTTCCACCGACTCCCAGAATCAGGTTTGGCTAGTTTCATCTACTATATGCGCCGCTTACAAACCTCTGTTAGCTCACTGTCGATGACGCATACCCCACAGGCTTAGAGCCTAACATTGATCCCAAAGTAACCCCTTCCTCCGTTCTGACCGATGACCACGAGCCTAGATACCCCGATTTCGTCTTCCACGCCGTCGCCATGTCTGCCATCCATGTAATTTTCTTCCTACCCTGGTGCGTAGCAGCCGGAGCCATGCTCCTCCTCTTTCCCCACCGTCTAGAGCTCGTCATCTTCGAAACTGGCTATCTCGAGCCATCCAAAAGCAATTATCGCTTCGCCCACTTTGCCGAGTGCGGAATGCAATACTCGATGACTTTCCTGGCGTCTCTTCTGTTGTTCATCTGCGAATATCCGAATTTGGGAACGGTCATTACAGGCGGTCTTTTGGCGCTATTCTTTCATGCTTGGCAGGACTTTGAAGTGGATCGGGACGTACCTCTTGGTCATGATGACCCGCAGATGATTTATATTCTGGCGACTAGCTCTTGGCTTACTGGAGATACTGTCGGCATTCAAAAGGTCGAGGATCAGTACTATCTTTCTTCTGCGACGCTGAAGAATCGGAAATTTGATGTGTTTGTTGAGAAGGATTCGGACGAGGAGTGAATTGCATACGTTGTTCATCATGCTTGTCCACTTTTTTCTTCGTGTATGATTGCAATAAACATCCTTTGAAGTAAATCACAGTTCTTGTTATGTCAGTGTGCTGATAACGGAATACCTGCGGCGAGCCTATGCATTGCCTCTGCGTTGATTGCTTCAACAACTTCTTGTTCAGGCCATGACATGGATCCGGATTTGTTAGAGGAACGTGATGATATGCCAGAACGCTGGCACCATTGCGCAGTTTCCAATATACAAATGACGCAGCCGTTAGCTTAAATAAGCCTTATCGTTTCATTTCTCAAATCCATTACGAGGGAAGGTGGAATCCACGGAATCATTCGACAATATGTTAGGCTTTGTACCGGGATATGACTCTCCCTTGGTAGGCCGCTGTACGTTTTGTGCGCACGATTTTGGGAAAAGTTGACGTGAAGAAATCCAGGTGCCAGCAACTGAAGGTAAATGAGCGCGATACTTTTACTGCTAGCTCAGAGGTTAAGTATAATAGACGACGATAAGCGTCATCACGTGTTATGTCGAGAATAATACATGACCTTCGATGGGCTTCTTGTCCGAGGGGGTTACTTAAAGGGGGTTATAAAGTCAGAAGCCGATTGAAGGTTAAGCACGAACGGCATCGTGTATTACTTAGCTTCCAGCAAGTAAACATGGATGAGGGCCAGCTCGAAAACCAAGGGAATGAAAGTGTGCAGCAAATAGTTAATGCCTGCCATGCTTTTTTCGCATGCGTAAGAAATCGACGTGGAGGGAGTCAATTGCCAAGTAGTAGGCCCCATCCTGTAGCCGTCTATAATCTCGCCAGAAATGATGATCATTGCTCGATCCCAGAAGAGACTCGGAGCCCCCACGCCGTCGGGAGGTTCATGCATTATTGAGTGAGGGCGATCATTTGGAATTAGCAGCCTTTTATTCGAAGCCATCATTATTCGAGTTTGGGTATGCTGGCTGTTGGTGAAGGGAGGGAGCATGCTGCCATAATTTCCCTCAATGTGCAAGTCGCAGCTGGAGGACGTCAAACAACAGAGCCATCCATGAATAATTCGTCGATTGTTATTGATATTGCCTGCTGGAAGCCGAGATGTCAGCGCTTGGGCTTAAATACCTCACCCCAGCAACGACAATGCGTGGGTGATTGACTTTACTTGAGTTTCGTGATGATAATAGGAAGGGTTCTGGGAGCGGCATAAGATAAAATCTCTGTCGTCTCTAAATATTATTTATTTACGCCGACTCACGATAGAGAGCCTCACCAACAAATAACGCCCCCGATCCCTGTCAGACGCTGAGTATTGAACACGCGTGGACGGTGCCCCGTCGAAGTACATTCATCCAAATCGAAGAAATACGGGAAATGCGATCATCTAACTTTGTTTTTATACGCAGGTGTGTCTAGATGAATGGAATACGTACCTTCTATCCGTCAACTTGAAGGACGGCGACAGTGAAATAAGCTCGGCTCGATGATCAATGGTTTTCATGATGTAACCCAGTCTTTTTCGGAAAGCAGCTGAGTTTAGAGAAGGCTTTGGTGTGTGAAGGTAGGAGGGAGCAAGCATCATTTCGTTCTGCCTTTGAGTATTAAATAACTCTGAGACCTGAGATATAACACTCGCCAAAACTCACCTCGACGCACATCGCCAAGACCCTCCATAGGACCCCATCACCACCTGACGCTGCTAGTACGAGGTACGGAAGCACGTATGCAGAGCGCCTAAAACAGGTAAAGCTTGCTTGCATGAAAATTGAAATGAACGCCGGACATAAATTTGTCGTGGGGAAGGGGTGAATATTTAATGCCCGTTGGTGGTCATGAGGAAATCGGTCGGCTCACGTCGGCTCAAATGGTTTTGTTTCCTTCGCGTTCCAAGGTACTTCCGGCTCGGTACCCGGCCACTTCAGAGGTGATTATTCCGTTCAGGCTTTAGCTTTAGGTTCCGTCCCCTCTTCTCGTGGAACGTGTTAACTGTGAAAGTTCAAAGAGCAGGATGCACGCTTGCCAAGGATGTGGCGAAGGTTAACGGCGGTGCTAAGAAGCTTAGGCTAAGAGCGTGGTGAAAGGCTAATAAGACACAAGAACTTTAGAGAATACCGTTTGCTTAGGCCCGGGGGTGCCTTTCTTGTGCTTTGATACGATCTTGGATGTGGGAGAGTCGATGTTAGACTTGAGCGCTTGAGCTTGAGAGGTGAGTTGATTTATGTTCTGCTTGAAATGAGGACTCACTTTCATCGATTCGTCCCTCTGGTACCGTCAACCTTGATTATGAGGGAGCGAGGTAACAAACTCGGGAGTCGGAAGGGACGCTGGCGATCAATCCTAAATGTTTTTTTTAAATCTTGGTCCCCTTGGTCCTTGGAAGTTTGATCATGAACCGGGGTCAATAAGGGCACAACGACAAGAAAAATTGCGTCAGAGTGGATGTAAGGAGGCTTAGCAATACTTGGCTGATAAGTTATCGCGATATCTGTCAGAACGATGAAAATGTCAAACGTTCATGAAGTGAAGACTTCTGAGGGGGGGAGATTACTGAGGAAATGGGGTTTGGAGGATGATGATGAATAAGATGAGGGAGTACCTGTGTGGTGATAAGAAAACGAGAAAGAAAAAAAAATCAGCCCTGACCCTGGTTCTCCAAGATCTGAAACGAATTGAGCGAATTTCAATGAGCTTCATACATACTCGTATTGCTCGACGCTCACCCAAATTCCTCGGGGGGTGAGCGTCGAGGAGGGCAATGGGCAAAAGGAAGCTCAAAAGCAATAACACGCCAAGAACATGCACGCACAAACTGCGGTCACGGAGCCGGAAGAACGGCGTTGATCACGTGGAACTGACCCATAAGAGGCAGGGTCAATTATAAAGTAAACCTTTCATGCGGTTTTGCACAAGTACTTTTTTCATTCCACTCCACCTCCCTTATGTAACGACCCCTTCGTTTTTCTTTTCTTTTTTCTCGAGGAGTCTATTTCAAATCGACTCCTCTCTTTCTCCTTTCTGCTCTGCCGCCGGTACATGGTTGGGCACCCTTTGCCCTTGCTTGACCATCACGACGTCATAACTTTCCATCCTGTACGTGGTATGTATATATGGTCTAGTGGTGTACACTGACCTTTCTTTTCTGCAAAGTTTGATGTTACGACTCCCCATATCATCTATGCCTGTCTCGGCGGGTTCATCGTTTTGGTGCGTCTTTCCAATGGTATTTGAAAGGTTCTGTGCTGATGGAGATGTAGTTTGGCATGTTTTCCCTCTTTTTACGAGGAAGAGTGCGCATCTTTCTCCATCTTCTCATACTTTCCACTTACCTGCGCAGTTGTACATCGGAGAAGCATGTTGGGCTTTTATTTTCGGTATCATCATCGGTTCGTCTCCACCCGTCTTTCCTCCAACCAGCCTCAAAGCTAACCCGGAGTAAAAGGTCCCTACGCACTCGACATATTCAACCCTCGCACGTGGGGCAACGGATCAGCAGAAGCCACCAACATGATCACCCTCGAATTCACCTGCGTCGTACTAGCCATTGGCGTATTCGCTATCGGAGTCGAGCTTCCAAAAGTTTACATGCTACAGCATTGGAAGTCATTATTCTTCCTCCTCGTCCCTGTCATGACCTGGGTTCGTCCCCTTTGCCCTGGCCTTCTTCTATTAATTGCTCACGCATGCGACACCCATCAGGGGTGGTTAGTATCTGCAGGCTTAATCTGCGCCTTAATCCCCGGCTTAAACTTCCTATCAAGTCTCGCAGTAGCCGCATGCCTCACGCCTTCAGATCCCATCCTAGCAGCTGCAGTCGTAGGCGGGAAATGGTGGGCCGACAAACACGTCCCAGCCCATATTCGACACTTGCTGGCAGCGGAGAGTGGGTGTAACGATGGCGCGGCGTTCCCCTTCCTCTTCATCGCCCTCTACCTCACGTTGGACGCTTCTACGGGTGCAGCTATACGAGATTGGTTCCTCATTCTCTGGCTTTGTGAGTTTCCCTTTGACTCTATCTACCCCAGGCACGTACTCATCCCATCAGACCAGATCGTCCTCGGCGCCGTCCTGGGCTCCCTCTTGGGCTTCAGCTTCCGCCACCTCATGAAATTCTGCCAACGCCACGACCTAATCGATCAGCACTCCTACGTAGCCCAATACGTCTCCCTCGCCATGCTCACAATAGGCGTAACAAACCTCCTCAGCTCAGACGACCTCCTCGCTGCCTTTTTCTGCGGCACCGCTTTTGCATGGGACGGGTTCTTCAATCGTCAAACGGAAGAATCGGTCTTTTCAAGCGTGATTGACACACTATTCAACGTCGCTGCATTTATATTCGTAGGTGCTTGGATGCTGTTTAACAAATTCCAGGATGCGGCGTTTACGTTGAGCGTGTGGAGGTTGATTGTGGTTGCGTTGCTTGTGTTGCTGTTGAGGAGGATACCGGTTATTATTGCGTGTTGTAGGTGGATACCGGTTATTAATAATTTTAGGGAGTCGGTGTTTTGTGGACATTTTGGGCCTATTGGGATTGGTGCGCTTTCTTCCTTCCTCCCCCCTTGTCTTTTACTGATTGATGACGATAGGTGGGATATTCATATCAACGCTCGCAACCCAAATCATCCACGAATCCCTTGAAGCCTCACACAATTCCCCTACGCACCACTCCCTTGCACAAATTACCCTCCTGGAAGAAACGATCCAACCCATCGTAGCGTTCATGGTCCTATGCTCCATCGCCGTATGCGGCCTATCCATGCCCTCCTTCTCCTATGTTCATTAGATATTAACTCAGTGGGCAACTTAGGACTTAATGAAAGTAGGGACGTAAAACTGCTTGTTTACCATTGGGCCTGGATCGTAATTGTTTCCTGTCAACAACCTGTCAAGGAAAATGAGTACGGCGCTGCTTTACATGCTATAACCATGTGTTATGGCGGAGAGTGTATTTAGCAAGCTAGTCACGATCGTGTTGGAGTGGTGATCGCTTGACTCGTCACATGATCTGTCTCTCTTTTCTTACTCAGCACTACATAACGAAGTAAGTGAGATCGACCAAAATCCTTGCGAAAACCAATAGGTATAGGTTCACAATAAAGATACAAATGAAAGGAAACAATTTCAAGGGATATCAGGTTTAGAACAGCAGTTACAATTTTTTATAATTCAATCAACCAATTTCGCATAGCTTTCCTGCGATCAGAGACTCCATTCCCAGCAACAATCCCTATGTCTTCATTGTAAAAGAGGATTAGCTTAAGGAATTCGAGGTGCTGGTAGCTGTCAATATTAGGATCAAACAGAGGTGGGGTCGAGCCGATGTTCGCGCCAGCAAATTCAGGGTGGTTGGTGGCAAACTGATTAATGGCATTGCAGGAGGCATGATCGGGGGCGAGGGCCCTTGCTAGTTGGATACCAGACCCTGCTACCTGGTGTGAAAGAAATGGATAGGCAACAATAGGTGAACCATTATACCACGACGTACAGTCTTCTGAACAGGACTGAGAACCATCGGATCGATAAATAGGTTTCTTAAACGAAGCAAGGCATTTGCAGTCTCTGCTCGTCCAGTTTTCACATTATTGTTAAGGTCACGGAGTTGTTCCTGGATCTCTTGCAGGGTATCTGCCAAATTTGCTGGCATGTACTGAGATTGAGCATCTATGGACAAATAAAATGACCGCAAGGATTTGTGGGTTGGGGGCACACTCACGCACAAGATCAAGCACATCTGCCCGCCATTGAGCGCTTTCGACCACATCTTCTGTCAATTCTGGGTATTGAGGAATATTCATGCCTACAAATCACTCAGTATGTTCAATCAATGTCATGTAAGTCAATGCTTTCCTTGCAAACCCCGAAGAGCATGGGCCGTGGCCTTGGCATGTCGTAGATGTAGCCGATCGAGTGCTTGCCCTTCCACAACTGCTTGGTTGAGATGGATCTCACCAAGAATTTCAGGGAGGCCAGGGTTATTCGCAGATATAGAACCGATGGTATATGGATAGGTGGCCATTTGCACCGAATGGTGGCACGAGAGAAAAGTCTGGCGTCCAGGATGATGTGTCAGCGCATATAAACAATCAGTCACGAGTCAGTGAGGCAATTCCCGGGCCGGCCTTTCCAGGCGTCAAATTACAATTATGATCCTTAACTTGGCGAACAAGAGCACAAAACTGGAGGATTAGAAGACGGAGCAGTGCTCAGAAGTACAATGGTGCGTCAACCCTTCCTCAATTACGCGGAGGACTGGAAGTTGAACGTTGAGGCCTGAGGCCTGAGGTGGGACATGCGCTTATGCTAACAAATCGCGTCAGGAATGTCCCAAACGACGCACCCACTCCCCGCCATCTCCATCACACCCCACTCACCAGCCCGATCACTAACACACAACACCACGGAAACACTGGACACTCTATTGTCTTAGTCCTCCAGCTCTACTCGAAGTTCTTATATCATCTATTTATACCCCGTGGCACTATCCCGACCCGATTCTCACTTACTCCTTGATGGACTAACGTTCGCTAAGCTCTACAACATGCCATAAAAGCACCGTACCTTCAACCTTCTACGCAACCCGCTAGCGCTGGCCCTGGAGAGTATGTGTGGTCGTCCAACTCTGCGGTCCATGGGTGCAGTGATGTACACATGGACGAAAGTGGTGGTGTCGAGCTGTGAGCAGCTTCTCCACCTGCCTGTAGTGACGAAGAACGAAAGAATTGACTTGTGAAGATAGGTACGGACATGCAACACTCACACAAATATACTTGGATAACACATTCTGCCTCTCCCCCTTCCCCCCACCTCAAAATCTACCAAATTAAAAATCAACATCAAAGTCGCTTTTGGGGACAACAGTAAGCCCTCTCCCCTCCCTTCCTCATTCACTCCCTCTACTAACATCCCCTTGCACACCAGACAGCCCCGAAACAACTTAAATCGTCACACGCATCACTCCAACTGCAAACTCTACTCACTCAACAATCAATGCACAATTCAACTAATCGTCGGACATCTGACACTCCACCCACCTGCACAACAGCATCTCCGCTTGCCGCGGCTAGATGACCCCATACCGCGCAACCCACCAATAACGTTCAGACGCGACCTGAAGATAACGGGTAATCAGGCGTTGGTGGGGACATCTTCGACGACGTCTTCTACTAGTCAACAGCTCAAGCCTGTGTCGAGTGAGAGCGTCATCTGTGCAGCCAAACGGCAGAAGCTGATGAGGGTGGGCAGTGTTTCTGATTTCAGAAGCGGGGTACGGCTCAGTGGTGGGTGTAGGTCAGGAGGGCGGACAAGAAGGCAAGCGTCGGCCCTTCTGGCATATCCTCCTTCCTCATTCGAACTAATGACGTCATCAGCTCGTCAAGAAAGTGGCGGTCAATCATAATGGGCTCGCAACACATTAGACCCAATCAGTGATCACTCAGATGACCTCCGATATATACCACGTAGCTTCGGAAAGCGGTTCAATCTGATTGATTTGAATGACGCGACAACGTAGGTACGACAGCCCAATCCAAGGCGCACAAGAGATGTAGAGGGAGAGCAGGACGTTTGTGTTAAAGAGGGGGAACAACTGCCAGACTGATTCCAAAGTGAGTTATAGCAGTTCGTTGCACCGAAGGATAAACCAAAGGCTTATGGTTGATTGAGGAGTTCAGATATTGTATGTTGTCGTCGGTTTTCAGGACATCATCTACGCCTTTTGAATCTCCAGCGATAAACGTCGCGTGAATGGTTGGAAGGGCATACCGATCCACTCGATGGGAATGTCGACGTGTTGCAGGATGAAGAAATGTCTTGGAGTATGGCAGAGGAACACTGGTACTCAAGCACCCATCCGACAACACGTGAGTCTCTTCAGAATGTTTAGAGTGACCCCGGCTGATGTTTTTATGGTTTTAAGGCATTCGCGCTCACCGATAGCAAGATCCACTACCGCACTGAGGACCGCGGAAAGACGTGGGGCTTTTTCCAAGTTCCAGTACCACCCACTCTCGTCACCAACCCGCTGTCGTTCCATTTGGATTCCAAGAAATGGGGTTCCATATTTTCTCATGGAAAGCGTGTAACCGCCAAAGGTGAGGCGCCATTTGCCATGACGAGGTAAGCGTCACTCTCACTTTCTATGACACACAATACAACATAGTATTTCAGACATATTACACAAAAGAAGATTGAGCGACACCCCACTGCTCCTCTCCAAAACCTCGCATTATCAATTCACGCACAGTCGCAAAGACTTCAAATGTGACCCACTCCAAACTCATCTATTGCGTCGAAGGTTTCCGCGTCCTCAGCTCCTCCAGCCACCTCTTCTACAGCACCGACTTCTCCAAGCAAGACCGCAAAGTCGAGGACTTTAGCATTGGGAAGGACGCAAAGGGCGTTATCTGCATTTTTTGGCGGAGGTTCCTGACCCCAAGCTGTCAGCTATCACTTGTTATACGAATGCTCGGAGGGATCGTTAGACAATTGGAAGTCTTCCATGGAAAATATGGTTCGATTTTAGCTCCTGTTTGTCTTATTGATATATGACGCTCTTAACTACAGGATATGTCGTTCGGAAAGTTCGGAATAAGATCATTGGGTTCGAACTTCATTCCATGAGTCCCCCTGATGTACTTCTGAATGACTTTGATATTGATTACTGCACGTCACAACTAATTAGTACCTGCGCGTTACAACTAAATTGGTACCTCTTCGTCCCATATCTCGCATGGCTGACGACACCACACTCATCATGTATGTCACCGATTTTATCATTACACCGTCAAGCAAAATATAATTGAACCTGCTTGTTTAGAAAGCCACCTCATCCATAGAACGAGTCAAGAACTACGTCCCGTACGCACGCTCCACCTTCCCCGGCTTACCAAACTAAAAGACGGCCACTGCCGTGGACTAAATTGTGCGTTTTTCTTTCCAAAGTCATCTCCGGGGTTAAGCTGATGGTCTCCTCTTTTTCTCTCTCTCAAAAATATACTTGCCGTGCATATACCTTCCCTCTTCTCGCTTCTCCAGTACTTGTTGTAGCCCGATAATACTTGGGATAAACCTAACCCTGAGAGCGAGTGCGTTTTGCGAACATGGGCAATCAATCGTTATCATGCCTGGAATATCGACGAAGACGAAGAAGTTCACCAAGGACAGGAGGAAGAGTATGTATATACGCCATTTTACTTATGACGCGAGTGTCACAAACTTACGATCAATCGCCGTATTCTGTTGCAGTGTTGAACTCTCTCGTGGTTGTCAAGTGCGTGTTCTCGTCGTCCTGGCACGTCTAATTTGACCTGTCCGTTTTTCCTACACAGGACTTGTATCCAACTTCCTTGAGATGTCAAAGGGCTTCACAGCCCGGGATCCGACGATTACTACTATCGTCGGAAACTTGGATGGTTTCACATCTACACTTCACGAGCTGTATAGACTCAGGCGGGTTGACTTCCCGCATGTTCAGGGTTCCATTCCGTGCGTGTCACAAGAAGAATCTAACGAGGATCCAATATGTCCACAGGGGCAGAACAACCGCAGGAAGACTCGGTCAGCGAATTGGTTGCCGCTTAACAACGATGTGAGTTACCTGCGCGTTATTGAAATTGAGTTAGCACAGTGCCGGGGGTAATTGGCTCAGGTGTTTCGTTTTGGGCGAGATCTCACTTTACTCATCGATCTAGCATTCAGCCCTCTCTGGGTTTTGCCATACACTTTTGCGAAGCTTTCAGCTAGTGCTTTCTGTGTTCAAGTCGGGATCTATGGTGCAGTGAGTTTCAAACATCTGCCGACGTTGCATCAATTTCAGAGTATCGTAGATCCTTATTCAGCTCACAGAGATGTCACCGCCCGCCTTTCGCGTAACCTTTTCTGGAGTCGGATGTTTGACTTTCACAAATCTCGGGACTGTTGTATCTCAATTGGCTTCTGTGAATAAATGATCTCTGCCGCCTCGGCTCAAATTGAAACTGGTATGTTGTTACATTCGGATTCCGATCGACATGATTATCGTGGTAGCTGTAGGCCAACGCTGGCCCGGGAACTTTACTACCGTCGTAAAGGATGGTCAAATGACAATTGTGTCATAGTATGCCAAGGCACGAGCTTTTGTGACGAACCTTGTGCTCTATTTATTGAGGCCTGCGGCATTGCAGGTACAAGGATTATTTATCGGTATCGTCACAGCCTTCCTTCGTTGTTTTTATTACTGTTGTCCGCCCAGAGTACGCCTACATAAATTGCTTTCTCTATTCATTCATTCACGTTTCTACAGGAGACATGGGTCGAGCTTCAAGCAATCAAACAGTTTCGGAAGATCATTCAACAAAGGTGACATGGAGAAGGCGAGCGTCATGATCGAGCATATTGGATAATCTGAAATGTGATTTTATTGTTAGAATGATAAATATACCAGTATTTCAGGTGGTGGGTTTGTGTATATACAGTGAGTGTGTCGTGGAATTGAGGTGTGCAATGCATGACAAGATCGGAAAGTCAATTGGCCCGGACCCTCAAGGGGCTTGAGGGTAGGTGGCGTAGAGAATCAATGTGAGGTGAAGAATATTTACGCATGCCAATGAGGAATGGAATTTGCCGTTGTTCATGACCTTGTAGACGTCGTCGCGAAAGTTTTGCTCCAGTAACAAATTACAGAACATCGCTTGTCATCTTGGGGTTAGGTACACATCCGTGTTGTAAAATTGGAACTTTGAATTCTGACGTAAACAAGGTGAATTGCTTGTGAAGTACTTAGATGGATTTGCTTTGGATTTGCTGAGTCATCGTCCGTCGGAACGGATTCCGGAAATGATGGCGTCGTTCTCCCGCCACAACATTGCCACAACACCGACGACGACGACCATAGCCATATCCGACAACCTCGTCCACCTCAACGCTGAGTCGGCCACCAAAGGCATCTCAAACAATATCGTCGGTTCACGACAGCACTTTGCGGGAAAGGAGGACCCATTTCACATATGCGCGTTTCTTGAGGCGGCTTTGAGTTTGGATGTGAGCAGGAGTTTGTGCGAAGTGTTTAATGGTCTGAACGTGATTCATTCCATATATACTGATAGTCGGGCCTGATGGCGGAAGCATCTCGCATGCTGGCCTTGTCTGAAGCTGGCACGTGGGAGCAGTTCAAGGCACCGAAGAAAAAGTACAGTTGAAGTGGCCCGAGTGGGGGATTCTTAATGCGGGTTCGCTTGTATTGTTGTGGATTATCCATGCTTCGAGGAGCGTGAACTGAATTGTTTAGAAATCTGTACCCGCCGAACAAAGTTGCAAATGAATCGTGCATGGGCTACCTCCAATGCATGTGTGCATTGAACAGGTATGTCTAGATTCTTCTTCCGTCACGCTACTGCCTGACTCTTTGAAGTGCCCATTCCAAATTTGCAAAGCCAGTCCAAATTTTGTAACCTGGACCCGTCTAACGTTCCTTGTAGATTATACAACACCGTTTTTCCCAATGGATTAGACAACAAATCACAGCTCCCCTTCTCCCTCACCGTCACCAAAACCATTTCTCAAGCAACGACATATCTTGTGTTGTGTTGCATAGATTGCAGACTCAGTTACTGATCCGCAGCCTTCATCCCTGTGCCATAGTAGGGATGGATCGTCCTTCGTCGGTACATCAGCACCCGGTGATCTCGCAAAGCGAGAGTACCCTTCCTCATTGGCCATGTCACCTATCATCCTCGCACCCCACTTCCTCGTTCCTTCGAGACCATCGTCAGCTTTGTGACTCAGTAGACCCTCTTCCCGGGCATCAGTCATCCCATCACTTCTCCCCGCTTCACCGATCTCACCTGAACGACGATCAGCCCGTATACAGCCCCATCATGCAGGAGAACTATTCCCACCACCAACCCAACGACAAGAAAATGCAAAACGACTGTGACTGACTCTTATCGACGGTGACAAAATGCAAGCATCAGTGACAGTAATTCTAATAACGCCTGATTTCCCATGCGTATATTGATTCTTTTGTGCAGCCTGAGGTATCATGGGTAACAGCCCTATCAAGCGGGGCTATTGTCTCGTTTGTCTTCGCCCTTCCGTCTTTCGGACAACATGACACACGCCACGTTGACTGTGATTCACCCGCTAACAAGTCCATGGTTTCAGGCATCGTAGGTCCAAGTCTTCATCTCTCTCTGTGACGTGCTGGCTGCCAGGCCTTTCCTGCTCGAGACCTCGTTTTGACTTACTTATATCCTTCGTTGACCGAACGAACAACTCTCGCTTGCGCTGCTAAGGACCTGCATATTGACCGCCGCTATCTATCTATCTATTGTTTGACGTAGAATGAACCGACAATGGACAAGCTGTTGGACCCACTCGGGTATGCTGCCACAACGTATCCTGGTATTTTTCTGTGCTGACGGATGCGTAGGCATTGCAGCCCCCCTCTAATCCTAAGCGGGTGGGAGACGGTGCAAGCCTTGCTAGTGGCGGATTCTCGACGTCGCGCTCGAATATTGTCGAGAGCGCGGAAGATCTGTACGCAAGTTCGGATGGAATGAGAAATTCAATAAATCTAACGATACGGCGTACACGGAAGAGGAACTCATCCACAAGAATAGCCTAGAGTAGATGATCTACAAATCCCGCTGGTACGTCGCAAACAGTTGTTCATTCGCTCGTACGTCCTCCAGTACCTTTCGTAAACGTTTATAACATTCCATTTTTTGCTACTTCCCAGCGCCGTTCTTGGCGGTACCTCGTCGACGGTTGGGACATTCCCCGGACCTCTTGTTGTTGGCACCAAGGTTGGACATTTTCTTCCCCGGTGAACCTCGAGTTAACGTTAATCCTCAGGGAAGCACATTCTTCTTGAATGTAGCCGATCACCTGACCGACACGACAATGTTGAGAAGCACTAGTATCGTAAGCTTGCTTTATCTTTAGCCCTCTCATTCTACTAAACCGATGTTTTCTTAATCTATAGCATTGGCACGGCATGTTCCAGCATGGCTCCAGCTGGGCAGACGGTCCAGTTGGAGTGACACAGTGCCCCATCGCCCCTGGTAACTCATTTTTAAACCAGTTCTCTGTTCCCGATCAGGCCGGAACCTTTTGGTACCATTCCCACCATTGTACGTTGACCATCGACCTGATGTTCTGCCCTAACTCATCCTCACATTCTCGTTTCAGCCACGCAATATTGCGACGGCTTGAGAGGTGCTTTGGTGGTTTACGATCCTTATGACCCATACAGGCATTTGTTCGTATTTTGTCCAAAATTGGCTGTTTCTCGCATCTACTAACTTTCGCCTATAGGTATGATTTTGATAATGGTAATGGCGCTGTCAATTTCGGGAGATACTTGCTAATTATTCTGAACCAGAATCAACTGTCATTACACTTGCGGACTGGTAAGAATTTTTCGTGCCGAGTCGCCATTTCTAAAATTAAAATTAAAGGTACCATACCCCCGCTCCATCCGCTGGCCTCGTCCCTACAGCAGATTCGACATTGATCAACGGGAAGGGTCGTTATTCTGGCAGACCTACTTCTTCCCTTTCGACCATCAACGTTCAGCACAGCGCGCGCTACCGCTTCCGCTTAGTCTCGATTTCTTGCGACCCCAACTTTACTTTCTCCATTGACGGACATAACATGGCATGTTTCGCATTTCTTTCATCTGAACTGCTCCGTTAATAATGAGACATACAGACCATCATCGAAGTCGACGGCATCAACGTTCAACCGACAACTGTGGACTCCATTCAGATCTTCGCTGGACAGAGATATTCTTTCATTTTGACGGCTGGTTGGCCAGTTGCTAACTACTGGGTACGTGCACTACCTAATCTCGGGCCGCAAGGCTTCTCCGGGGGAGTCAACTCGGCTATTCTCCGCTATTCTGGTGCTCCTAACTTGGATACTACAAATCAGACTACCAGCGTCATTCCCATACTTGAAACCAACCTCCATCCGTTGTCCAACCCAGGCGCTCCAGGAAAGCGAGTTGCTGGAGGTGCTGATGTCAATATCAACCTGAATATCGCGCTTAACTTCACGGAATTTCTATTCACTGTGAACGGGGCGACTTTTCAACCACCTACAGTACCCATTCTTTTACAGATCCTAAGTGGCGCCAAGACCGCACAGGATTTGTTGCCTACTGGAAGTGTATATACCCTTCCTCGCAATAAGGTTGTTGCACTTTCACTGCCTGGAGGCGCGGCCGGAAGTCCCGTACGTGCTCACTTTGTCATCTTTTTTAAAATGAAAATAATATTCAATCAACGATTTCCCAGCATCCCATTCATTTACACGGAGTACGTTTGTGTTTTCTCGGGAATGCCTACTAATGAGCGCAACTTCAACAAAAATAGACCGCCTTTAACGTTGTGCGTAGTGCGGCAAATTCAACTTACAATTATGTAAACCCTGTCCGTCCGGATGTGGTCAGTATAGGAGGAGCTGGAGACAACGTCACCATTCGTTTTACTACGAACAATCCGGGCCCATGGATTTTGCATTGGTGAGAGTGCTTTATTTTCCTATGGATCACGAGCTCTCAAATTTTATTCAGCCACATCGACTGGCATCTCAACCTATATGTCTTTCGATGACTTCCTGGTCAATGGCTTTCACCGATAAGACTTTCTAGCAAATTGGTGGTCGTGTTCGCTCAAGACGTTCCGTCGAACGCTACGTGACTAGCACCTATCCTAGTATGTTCCTTTCGTGTCTAGACCTCTAGTTTTTGATTATATTTTTACACAGCCGCATGGGATAAACTGTGCCCCACCTACGACGCTCTTCCCACTGAATTCTTCACATAATTATACAACCACCGTCCTTGAAAACTGTCCTTAAAACTTGTATCGGACTTGAAGGACAACCTGGTTATATTTTCTACTTACGGTGTATCTACCAACTCTTTTTCTCGTTTTGTATATACTTATGATGTATCAGACGTGTCGCAGTAGAGAAAGGACAACCTACTAATGTTTTTGAAGTATGTAGGAATAGTAAAACTCGGACAACAGTAGGAGGTACTCGTGACATACCTACGTACATCATACTCGTTGCCTCATTTATATAGGATGTGGTAGGGGAAGGTTGGAATATCCGAAGGGGCGTTCAGGAATACAGTGGATCAGCAATGGACATTCACACTGGTGTCATTTATCAGATGGGCGTGTCTATCGAATTTTAGATGGTAATCAACCAGAACCAGTAACGCCAGGTGAATAATTATAATGTCCTCACAAAGATCTTTATTAACGTACAAATTGCTTATCGATACGCTAATTTCGAGCCTCACCCCATACACATCCATCTCTTCGTCTCTGTTCTAGAGGACCATACAGGCGACACCCCCATTGGCATCATAACCTCTTAATGCATTGTCAATACTAAGGAGAAACCCACCCTTTCTCTGATTTCTGGCGCCGACTTCTACGCGCTGCCCAAGTTTTCTCTGGATAGTACCCGCCTGGAATCAATGCTCAAGGCGGACCCACAGGCCTCTCGAATCAGACCCTAGAGTGGAAGAGACAGTATTTCTCTTCGCGTAGTTAGGGATGGTAAGTGCTTGAATCATTTCAATTTGAATTTTCTTAAACACTTGCGTTGCACGTTAGACGTAAACTACGGCCGGTCCAACAGGTACGGACATGGTTCATCTGATCCTAGTTGGCGTTGTGGGACACAAGGACAGTTATTCAAAAATTCGGGGTGATAATGAGGAAGGATGGGTCGCACTAGCATAGGCTAGGGAAGTTTGGGTGGGGGGAGTGAGTAACTCGCAAAGCGCGTTCTCTTACCCACATGATTTATAATTATTCTATCGTGGTTGATTCGCGATTTTGAATTTACAGGTGATCCGAACACTTTGACTTTCGGATGGGGCTGATCATCACCAGTGCGACTTATGGTGGCTTCCGCACGAGTGGTTTCCGTAAACAATGGCAATCGCTTTGAAACCTGAGGGTGAAAGACGTCAGACAAACATTTTCATCATCATGATATGCGACCTTGACACCAAATCAATGCCCAGCACTGAATAAAATTCCCTGCAGCCCTGTCCAAACAGTGCAAATACACACACAGGATCATGCGTGATGAGTGAGGGTCGAATACAAGTTACTGGCGCTCAAATCTTGAGTCTCTGAAGTCCGTGCAACTTCAGGTCTTGGTTTGTCTGCTGAATTTCCTATGTGTAGATGACCCCCATCTCCTCGCTTTGTTGGATGCATGGGGCATGACAGTGCTCATGGTAAGTATTGTCAGGATCACCACATTTTCCAGTTGAGATGTAAGAAGAAGCCTCACCAGAGAAGTGGGTGATGGCTCTGAGACTACAATGCTTTGTGAAGTAGATTTTATAACCCATTATTGGAAAACTTCATCTCAATTTACCAATTCAATCTCAACAAATAGACTTGCTGATGTTTTATTGGATGACATCCTTTCCTAAAGAGTAAAATCAGCCAAGGTAATGCCAGAAACTTGATGAATCGTGGTGTTGGTTTTTGATTGAATTTGAAAATCCTGCTGTGGAGTTCTCGCCAACCTTAGGGGGCAGCAACAGAATAATATAGATAGGGCGCCTCTTGGCTGCATAGCCAGAACAGTTATTTTCCTGGCTAACCATTTTTCTGAGTACATCGATGATCCGGGAGATGAACTTCTCTTCTCAGTGAATTTATTTTAATCAGTGAAGACAGAACGGGATATTCCGAGAGCCGTGTCTCTCCCATTGATGATTGAGGTCGAGTCGGCGGTCCAGGAAATGAAGTTCTGGTGCCAGTTTTAGTTCCGTGAAGGATGGAAAAGGCACTCACATAAAAGACGTAGGATGCTTAAAATGGCACTGGAACTCGATAAGACGACTATCCAAGATACCATTTAATTCTGGGAGGGAGAGAATTCTAAGCCAAAGAATGGCGTGTTCAGAAATTCTGAAAGAAAATTTCGACCTCACTGGAAGGATTTCACTGGTGGTCGAATGTTGAGCAAATTTAGAATGCACAAGGCGAGCTGTCAATGATAGATGAATCGCAAAGAGAGATAACGCATTGTGACCCAGCCGAGCTGATTTAGAAGGCAATTGAGGTCAGGGAGCATCAAGGGTGAGATATTCACTTCGATCCCACCTGACAAAGCGTTCGGGAAAGTGCGATTGGTGGAATCAACTTTGAATTCACGGAGAATTCCCGTGGTATCCGAAGGAAATAAGAAGAAAATGGTCAACGGTCCTAGTTGCCAATGTCGCTCAGATAAGCTGAACAATCACCTTTTTTTTGTTTGCTTTCCTCAATGCCATTTACCGGCGGGAAATGTGTGAGTTTCGCGGAGTTTCAAATAAATTACATCCATATCCGGACAAACCCCTTTTGGTATTTGCGGAAGTATTTTGATGTTGATCGACGATCACAGGTACAGTTCCTCCAACCACCGCGAATTGCCGTGAGCGAATCTGGAGCACAAAAAGGGCATAAACCCACTTCTAATGGCATGAGTTCTAACAACCAAATAAGCCTAGATGGTTAACTTCGTCATTCAGTTTAATGGACCGACTGGGGGCTCATTGCATGGCGATAGACAGCACAGGACATCGAAGATATCATTGATACAAGTGAAGGAAACCAACAGATTGGTCTGCCCGCCCCCTCCTTCAGGGTCAGCTAGGAAGCAAAACCCATTGACCACAGGTCCCAAAAACGCTAAAATTGAGCCATTATAAGTACTCGATGCGCCTCCGGTCCACCTCTTTCCAACCCCGATCCCCTTCCTCCACTTTACGTGATTTGGTCATCATGTCGTCTATTAACAACCACACGGCAAATTCTGAACGCCCTGAACGCAGCCGTAATGCTCGAGCACAAGCCAGACACCGAGCAAAGCGAAAGGCATATATTGACCAGGTAAGCATCAGCACCGTTCCTTTCACCCACACGACGTCGTTGCGTTTTAATCAGCGTCGCCCAGCTCGAACAAACCGTAACAAAGCTCCAAACTGAGCTTGGCTACACTCCAGAGCAGATCGGTGTCCTTCCACCTCACACAGTGAAGATACGCGAGCTCGAGGCAGATCTCTTGAGGGCCCAAGAAGAAAACGAGGAACTCTCGAGGCTCCTCGCAGAAAGCAGAGTGTCGACCGCCGTCATGCGTCAGGACCCATTGACGACGTACCCAGATGGTCGGCGTTGTGACCGAGACTACAAGAGACGTAAGATGGTGGGCCATGCTGTGGAGGGGGTATACATCGTACGGTCGCACTTCTAGTACCACTAATCAATGCTCAAACTTATCGACGCGTAGAGCCCCAGTGAAACTCCAGCCCATATGACGGAACCACTTTCGCGACCACCACCATTGACAATACCCCAGGCAGCCTTGAACCATTACAGCAATATTCCCCCCAACGCCAATCACCACAGTCCTGGGCTAAGCTTATCATTCACCCTGCATGCACCCGCACTGTTCCAAATGCCAAATACACCATCGGGTTCGAGTGCTACTTCAAGTCCCCCATTCTCGGTGAGTATTGTTACTGTTTTACTCCCCATCCACGCGTCCCGACGCTGGCGATAAGAATTTCCTTGGATCCTAGTGATAATTTTTTTCTTGTTCCCCCCCCCCTGTAGCCTGTTCAAATGCAAGCACCCATACACCCCCCAATGGACCAGCGTCCACAGCAACACAACTACACGCTCTCGAACTACACGCAACACCATCCAAACCAATGTCCCGGTATATCTGTCAAGGTGGAGGACAACCCCAGTTATACTGTGAGTCAACAACCTCAACTCGTAATACCTTTCATGAACAATAGGCATTTACAGCCGGGAAACCACCATTCCTCTCTACAGTACTCCTATTCGCATGGCCATCCTCACGACCACACTATGGATTGGAACACGTACTTGGATGGCCACAATTACACAGATAGCGTCTTTTGTTTTGTGTAGTAGGAGCGGCTTCTAAAATTACTATACCCTGCTTACCGTACCCTTTTCCTTGGTAATAGTACATAGGCTAGAAAGAAATGATAGACCCAACGACAATACATGTACATCCGGAAATGATTTTTTTGTGCACAAGTGTGGTAGGTGCATGAGATGATAGAATGTTTATGTGGGAGGGGTATCACGGATAGCAAGGAGCATGCAATGATAGTGACGATGACGACGAATGAGTGGGAAAAAAAAAAGAAAGAGAAAAACGCAACCAAACTCAATATCAAGCCCCATCCTCCTCCTTCATCCACCCGCCTCCACTCAGTCCGCCATGGCTACTGCTGCTGCTGCTATTCGCCTCGGCAGCATCCACAGCCTCCAACAGCTCCGCCTCTACAACCCCATCTGCATCAACCAAATCTGACCCCCACCACCAGTCGCTTCAACCGCACCTAGAATCTCAGCCTCAGCCTCAGCTTCCGCATCCGCATCAGCATCAGCGTCCGTCTCATCCACCTCCATCCCAAGTGTGGGTGATATCGCCACACCCAACGGGGATTTTTTGTTTGCTGGCATCGTCCTTCTCGCTCCTGATGGAGTGCTTCTTCCAGCTGGCGGACTTCTTCCTACGACAGGGGTACTTCTCCCTCCACCACGCGCGGGCGTGCTCCTCCCCCGCCCGCAGGCGTGTTCCTCCCACCAGTGCTGCTCTTCCCTCCAGCGGCAGTAGCACCGTTTTTCTTCACACCCGCCCGACTCCTCCTCCCAACATTCAAAAGCGGCAACTGCTCCGAATCGCCATCCTCCCCCTCATGCTTTTGTTCACGTTCATGTTCAGCATCCTCCTCCTCCCCTTCGTCCTCCTCAAACACAGCTACGGAAGGCAGAGGCCTACGGTTTGGACTTGCACCACCTACTTGTGTAATCGTCGTTCAAGTACGATGAACGCACTGGAGCCTGTGTTTGCGCGTGCGGCTGGGCTTGCGACGGCTCCCTCCCCAGAATCTGCGATTGGGATTGCGAGGGCTGCGAGAAACTTCCATGATGTGTGAGAACCGTATCCATCCTATGTATCGATCGATCCGAGCCTTGAGAGAGCGGAAGTTGTGACATCGACCCCCCTCGCGAAGGCTGCTGCTGGCGCATGACCGCCATTTGTTGTTGCGTCTCCAGGGTTCCTCGCCTCTCGACGTGTTTCATTTTCTTCCTACACCTAGATGTGGTGTTTTGTTAGTTAAAAACGTGACGTAGAAAGATGAAAGAAAGGGAGACTTACCGATCGCAAACAGTCCCAGGACCCATCGGCCCAGGGCCCCATTTTTCAACGCATTTGTTGTCTTTATACCGTCCTGGGAGACCGCATTGTCGACTGATCCTATGGCCTTGGGCGTTTGTGGCTGGAAAGACTTGGGCGGGCGGATCGACGATTGGTGCGTCAATTGGGCCTTGAAAATTATTCGGTTAGTATGCAGAGGTGGCAGAGTGAAAGGAAAAGGGAAGAAGAGTTGTGTGAGAAAGTCGGAGACAAGAAATAAGAAAGGATGGCGGGCAAGACGTAAGTTGAATGGATGTCAGAGACACATACAAAGAAGGAAGAACATTGAAACAGTGAAGGACTTCCAAAGGCGAAGAGCGAGGAGAGGAGAATGAAATGAGAAAAGAAAAAGTAAGGCTGTCGGGAGAGCGGTAAAGCGCAAGCAGGAAGCTTCTGATATCTGTCACCAAAAGAGTTGGAAGCAAGACGTGAAATTTGCCAGATGCAAGAGAACGGACAGATGATGTCCGTTCCTCGACAAGACGATCCAAAGGCCAGAAGGAACACTCACCTCCTACTATTCCTCCAGGCCTCGCAGTCAGCGCACACACACTCCCCCCACCGCCAATACTACTCCCACTAACCGAATACTTTGGCTTCTTCATGGGTGCACCCATAACGACCAGAGCAAAGACATGAGTCTGATACTGCTGAACCTGACCCGGCTGAACAAGTGGACCAGGTTGCGTTCCTGACTGTTGCTGCAATCCCACGTCCTTCCTCGGTATATACTGATTAGCCGGATATGCATACCCAGCAACTTCTTGTGCTTGTTGACCTTGATAAACGTGTACGCGCCCACTGCCCTCCTCGGCGTGTCTTCGTGAGTGGTGGCTCCACAGATGCGGGGACCCATTTTGAGATTTGGTTGTAGTTGGTAAAGGAAGACTCGCTATATGCGGTGGTTGTTGTGATTGTTGATTCGCAGCGATGCCGTTGATGGCGTCGGCTGTAGTGGCTTCAAGGAGCATCTCATCAACGTCCAACGAAGCGCTGCTAGAGCGACTTGAAGACCTTGAATGGGGTCTATGCGAATGTGCATGATGAGGATGGTGTTGTTGATGGCAATGGAGATGTGAATGTGACGAAGGGAGGGTGTGTGGGTGCGGTTTGTGGTGATGGCCGGGGGACATGCTGATTCTAGGAGCGGACGCGGTAGGGGGCGGGTATCCATGCTGCTCCAGATGGATATGCTGAGCCGAGGGAGGAGGACGTAAGAGAAGTGCGCTCATTGAAATCAAGGTGTGGTACTTACCAAGTCGGAATAAGACATCCCCGGTTCTCCATTCCCGCAGGATCGTTTTGATGGCGGGTGGGTGTATTTGCTTTCTATGCTTGGCGTGCGCGCTCTGCGGGATGTTGTCGTGGTTGATGAAGAAGTGGTAGGGGGTGGTAAAGCAGGAAAAGGGGTCCTTATAGCATGTCTCCTCGGTGGTTGAGAAGTCGGCGGTGGTGGAGGCGCCATGGAGGATGTACCCTGCAACGGAGTACCAATAAATCCCAAAGTCATAAATCCTCCCAAACGCCTCGCTTCCTGATTACGCAAGTCAGCCATCTGCAGCCAATGATTGAGTTGCATCCAATTCTCCAAGACGGCCCTTCTCCTTGACTCCGCTTCGTCCCTTGCTATCTCCGCCCTCTGTACTCGCTTCGCCGACAATTCAAACGAGGGCGACGACGACGACGCATCCGTTAGCGCTTGCAAAAGCCGCTCAGCCTTTTCCGCGTGTTTCCTCGTATTCGTCAATTCCTTCTTCACGCCTCGTTCTCCGTATACGTCTCCGTCAACAACGTCGACAGTTGCAGGTTTGAACTTGCATTCCTAGTCGTCGTCAGCGTATTTGCATTGGTAGGCACAGTATCTTGCGGGGAAGCAGACACGGGGTAGCTGATGAAGATGATGCAAGGTGGCAAAGGGAAAGTGGAGAAGAGCCAGCAGTGGCGAAACAAGGGATTGACAAGGTTGTTAAAGCTGTTCAACGCCATAACGACGTCAAACAAGGAAGGTGGTGGATGAACGAAGCAGAGTGGTGGAGAGGAGCCAGCGCCGGCGCCAAACGAAGCAGGTTGGGGTACACTGACATGGCACCGGCACTACAGCTACTGTCAGTCCTGCAAAAGCTGGTTGTGGAGGGATTCACTCACCAGGTCCCCAAACCTCCTTCAAGAACAAGTTGAACCTCTCACACCCCTTTTGGAGGGAGGAAAGGTCGTCGTGATTGTTATCAGCAAGTCTAGATAACAGACAATAGTGATCATGATGGAAGTGCAATAGATATGATTTGAAACATACCAATTACAAGATACTGGTGGAATAGTGGAGACAGAGACTGTAAAAGAACGTTAATAGCAACAAGAATGGAAGGGAACGAAGGGGAAGTGTGTGGAGACGAAGGAAACAGCGTGGGTGGGAACACGTTATTTAGGGTTAGTTCTAGTATGAAGAATGACATCAGACCAGAAGCGCGCAGCGTCTATCCAATGCTGCCTCTATCTCCCTACACGTCTCCCAACTGATTTCAACCTCGTGTATGAAATCGCACAAAATTTTGTACAATGGGCTGGATATATATTATATGTATCACGAAATAAAAAGGATAATTGCCAGGTTCCTATGTGCGTGCAAACTCAATAAGGGTTAGGTTCGTGTTTCCATCTCTCCACAGTGCCGGCTCGCCCTCACGATCTCGATGAACTCATGCACCAAAGGCCCGAGCAATCTTTGACGGATCGAAAAAGCGGAGGGTTTAGCATAGAGTTCCACGACATGAGGCGGTAAAGTGAAGGGATGAGGAAGGGGCGGAGTGGCTCTACGATGTCAGAGATTTCAATAGAATTTTGGTGACAGTGAGAGAGAGAGCAAGACGACGCACCATTGAGGGACCGGCCTGACCCAGTACGGGGGCTTCCTGGTTCCCAAAACCTTCTGCACTGCCCGTATAAGCTCCAGATCCGTGCCCCGCTCCAACTCCACCAGCGTTGCATTCGACGTGACGATGATAGCGGTGCATCCGATATTGCGCTTGCCGTTGTAGGGCACGAGGCCAAGTCGACACGTCCTGGGTAGTCGGCTTCGGACTTCCATGATGGTCTGGAATTGGCGGTTATCCTGGTTCATGTCAAGCGCGAATTTGTGTCGGTCCGCCCACTCGTCTTGTCTCTCTGGAGGAAAAGGGAAGGCGAGAACTGTTAGGCGCACACGCTTCCCAGATCGAGGGTCGCCAGTGTTCATTAAAGCCGGCACTTCACCCATGTCCCTGAGCGTCAGAGGTGGCCGTGGTTGTTTCGGTGCTTTCGGTTTCTTGAGAACATTGGTGTTCTTTGTGTCGTCCATAGCCTTATCCCTGTAAACATTCAGTTATGAAACCAAAAAATTGAGTCTTTAAGAGACCTACATCGTATAGCTGTGTTATAGCTTAAAGCTTTGAACAGAACATGTTGGATGGGAGTTTAATGTCGCTCATATACCCACGTGCACGTGCCACCACATCAAGGTTTCAACAGATCGCATTGTTTTCCGGAGTCCGTGAACGTTACCACTTGTATTGTTATTTTTTTTGGTAGGATAGATACACATTGATCGGCATCCTTTTCCTTCAGTTGCACAAGAAACCGCCTGAGCCAAGCAAATACATGTTTTGTTCTGCCTCATCACTGACTCGGAATGAACAATGGAAGGTGACTCGAAGTTCAAGTTCCCCTTCAAGTTGAATGTTTTTTGTCTTGCTGGTTGGGATGCGTTCTTACTCTTCATTTTAATTCCAAACGGAACAATACATGTCTGGTTCTATCTTATTCTTGTCAACGAACAATTTGATTCGTTGTTCTCCCTGAACACTAAGTAAAAATAACTCATTGTTGGTTAGGTACACATCTTTGTTCTTTACGTTATGCCGAACGAAGCAAATACAAATCTTGTTGTGGTATTCTTCAAACCGTTGAGAACCGGTCATACACTCAGTTGATTCTTAGACGTAGAACTCAATCCCCACTGGCATATTGGAAACTGATTGGAAATGCACGAAGAGCGGAAAGCGAGTGCATATGCTTGGCACAACAAAAAGGACCGGTTATAGACAGCCTTTTGTAAAATAAGGCAGATACATGCTCAAAATATCGCAACAAAAATTTCCGTACTCGTCTGGTTTATTTGAAAGAAAAGGTAACCACTATAAGCATCGTGGACTCGTGGCATTTCTCGTCCTCCATCGTTCGCTCACAACTCTCATTCAGAAACTTGATAAGTGTGCCATAAAATCCTTAAGTTCAGAGAATTTAATCATTACTATTTGTCGCTGTTTATCGACACCCCATATTTGCTTGGCAGGGTGGCATTGCGGTTTCAACCCAGACAACGACGACAACCACCGTCCAGCCTCGATTCCACGGGTACGACACGCGGCTCGAACGACTGACATCGACGCTTCAGAAAGTCAGCAAGAAGACAGTTGAGATACCGGATTGGCTTGATTACAAGTAGGGCTGCGCACCGTCCCCGTCATAGACGGGTCGACGGACGGGTCTGACGGGCAATTGTCCGTCTCCGTTTGGACCTGCAGAACACCCGTTTTCATCCGTCACATGACGGCCGTAACGGCCGTCAGACGGGTCATCGACATATTCTATTATTTCCTCGTAATTAGCTGTACTATCTTTTGATTGTGTCAAAAGTGTCTTATTATTTACCTTTTGCAAGCTCTATCTCAGCTACATGTGGTTCAAATGCAGCTCGAAAACAATTAGAAACAGCCTAATGGTGCTGACTCATCGCAATTGAAACCCCGCGAAATGTCTGTTACACACCTTGAGGTTGCAATTTGCTTTTTGAAGGTGCAAATCTTTCTTATTTGTGCTCAATAATTCTTTTTACTTTTTCCAGGTACCGAAAAAGTGTGAAAAAAATGAATTACATCGAAAGGTGGGCAAAACGGCCGTCTAACCCGTTTACGGCCGTTTTTGACCCGTCCGCTTCCGTTCTGACTTTCGAAGTGCAAATTTACGGCCGTTAATCGACGGCCGTCCCCGTCAAACGGACGGTGCGCAGCCCTAATTACAAGAGCCACCCGTTCTGGTGATCGAGAGACAGGTGAGTCTGGTGCGCGGACCTTGGAAGGTGTGCTGCTAATCGTGAGCTGAAGGTCGGCTGTACAGATCGCTATTTATCAAGTGTGAATGGAAAAGATCATCCACGACGTCAGAGTGCGAACTGAACATTCTGTTTTGTTCGAATTGTGAGTCACTGTAGTGCCTGCTAGATCTATTTCTTACAGCTCCTTTTCTTAACGGCTACAGCAAGACATTTTATCCGTATGCTGTCACTCCCTCTTTTGACCAAGCCAGACTCTTACATACCCGCAGCCCTTCTTCCACTCAGCTAGCCAAATGTGGTTGACGCCTTTACGCAAGTACGAGGAGCTCGATTGTAAAAACATGACGCCGAGTCGCGTCCACCGTAAAAGGCCCTAGCAAAAGCAGCGGTGGCAGTGGCATAGCAGCCGCATCTATCGCATCACAACTCTCCTCATCGCAACAAACCTCGCAAACGCTCTAAATAACAGATTCAGAGACTCGGACACGGTGCCCGTTTCCCAACAGTGGATGCTGCAGCACGCATAGAAGGAGTTCTAGTTGTTCAGTTCAATGGACTCGGGGGACGTAGTGCGGTTTTGAGTTTAGAGGATATATGTGGTTGGTGTGTGCATAGGAGGATAAAATACTCGATGCTGCGCTCGAATACTGAGGAGAGGACCAAGGATCTGTGAATAACGCAGGTAAGGATTGGCCTTTTGACGGGAAAAGGAGAGGGCGTACGTGGGACCAGTTAGACGATTGAGGGGAGATAAAAGGCAACGAGAGCCTGTAAAGGTGGAATCTCCAATTTAACTATCGATGCTGCTTCCCTCAATCATCGGACTTCCCCACCCTCCCACTAATGAAGTATACGAAGATGAAAATGCGGACTGGCGATTTGTGTCGAATCGCAGAAATCGGTGCGGGTGGGCGACAGCGCAAGCCTTGCTGGGTGCGGATTCTCGACGTCGCGCTTGAATATTGTCGAGAGCGCAGAAGATCTATACAACTCAGGGCAGTGACACCATTGTCCAAGGACTCTGAATGAAAAGGCGCGACATAAACTGAAAAAGCGGAACAAAGACCTTTGGTCTTGACCACAAGGCTGATGAAAGCATCGCCATCTGGGAGAGTCGGTGGGCCAGCTGAACTTTTTCAATGCATTGGTACGTCATAATGTCACGGACATGCACAGCCATCAATCCCTGATTTCACTTACGTGTTGTACCCTAAGAAACTATCCTATTAAAGGCGCCTCATTTTTGGAGACCGTTTCACATTTCCCCCACTCTGACGCCAGCGTTTTCGAACGATGCAACACGCCACCTGCACTAAGATTCGTGTTAGGTCGCCCTCAAATGCTCGCGTCATTTTCCACGGTGTCGTTCTAGACATCCTACCGATGGTGACCCGACGGTTGGACACCGAGGAGAGGAGTCTGATTTCACCAGGCCATGTGTATGTTTGGGAGGAACGGGGACCACACGCTGAACTGACAGGAGTGAGTTTGCATGATGCAAGTATGAAACTCGATATTGACGAATGTTGTGTTCCAGGTTGGTATTGAGCGATGAACAGACGGTAGGTTGGGTTGCCTTTTCCATGATGCAAAGTGATCACGACTCATAGGTATTCGATGGGGGCCGTCGAGAGTCCGAGAGGTAATCAAGCATCATCTTTAGCACCTGCGCCACTTCATGTTTGCTTTTATCCAGGGTTTCTTATTCTACCATGAGAAACAAGAATCAGGTCACTTCTATTCAGACAGCCTGTACGACCTGCCACTCCGCGTGTTGTTGGCCCCCTTCTCACTCACCCCCCTTTTCTCCCTCAAGCGATTATTCTCGGACAATTCTCATAAAGCAAACATACACAGTGTTCGTGGACACACCAAGGGGACAACGGAAATGGCACCTCAGTGAGTAAAAATAGGCACAGGGATGTCCCTATTTGATACATTTAATTTCGTTCACAGTCGCCTATTTCACTGAGGAATCCCTTGATAGACTGCGATCTATCGAAGACATTCCTGAGTTGGCGTCATTGCGCGTACCTCATGGGAAGTACAAAAGTGCAAGATCTGCCAAAGGCAGGCCTGATCATATCTTCAACCCTGAGAGCGAAAGCCGGGAATTCTCGCGATTGGAGTATGTCCCGTACACGCCTAACCCCAGGAGTGCTTCTGACAATCCAGAGCCACCGGCGACTAACCGACCTTCAACATGGATTGATCTGCCATTGAGGGATCACAAGGGATCCACAAAGAGCGGCTCTGCAAGTTCTGCCTCAGATGACAATCCCAACCGCTTGGCGCCCCTAACTTATTTAGAAAATATTCCTCCACCTCGACGTCATCCCATGGATGAGAAGGCTTTGATGCTTTTTCAAGCGTATGGCTTATGGGTTTGATTGTTGTGTTAATTCCTTATACCCATTGCTACGACATTGAATAACACATATCTGATGGAAGGCTGAACAAGGGCATCAGGGTGATTTGGTAGATTGTTTGAATCTGAATATCAGTACCTGCTACACGACTAACTACTAACGTGAATTAGGCAACGGAGATGAAGAAGCCCGCCCAGAATTGGCCCAAAACGCATGTCGCCAAGCTCACTGCGAACGCACAACATTCATGACGCCTAAGGGTCGCGAACTGGATGTGAGCATTGAATACCATTGTACTTACTTGTCTTGTTCAATGTGTTGGCAAACAAAATCTTCGGTGCATTACATATTTGGAGCATCGAACCTTCTGAATCTTTCGAAAAAGTAAGTCTTGGAAGTAAACATTCCGTGGTCAAAAACTCACGTGAACTCTCTGCGCCGCACGCCGGAACAACGCCAGTTCTATTCTACCTCGCAAATAGGTGGCGCCTTGCTCCGAGGATGTTACACATTCGCAACGTGGTGGATAGGAATGGTACTAGAGCCAGTGGAGTTTTTTTAAATAAGGTGTGTTTAGTCCTCGTTCTCGATACTCTCGTTCCTGTCAGTTTTCAACTATGTAACCTCCGTCAGGCATGTTGAACTATCCTCGAGGCGTTCAAAGTGTCGCTGTTCGCAAGCTGTATGCGACGTACCGACGGGACTGTCCGGTTTGTCTATAGCCTAGCACCCCCATTTCCAAATTTTTTGTCCGGATCGGTATTGGATCGGTATCTACCATTTAGCAGCATTTTCAGGGGTCCTCATCAGACATCCCAATACATTTCTCGGCGTTTTTGATCCTCGATGACCTCAATTTTATCTCTTGAAATTCGAAGGCCCAAACCAGGATTTTTTTCCACCTATGATTGCATGTGTAAGTATGGTCGAACTCTTTAAATTTCCGAACTTTTACCACTGGAGCTACACTACCTGCTTCGTTCCGGTAGCAAAAGGAATTTAAGAATTGAGAAGTTGAAGAAGACATCTTTCGACGGTCTCCGCAATGCGATCCATGGGGAAATTACTGAAAGGAACGTACAGCGTTAGACGCTCCAGCAACAACCGACCCCAATGCAAACCCTCCAAAACGACTTGGTTTACGATGTTCAACTTGTCCGAGCGTAGATTAAGAGCTCAAGTCATCGCGTGCAATGCGGTACAATTCGCCAAGCTTCTGATGACGCTAAATTCCCCTCCCTGCATGAAGATCAGTTGTGATGAGAAGACCGCCTCGACAATTGCTCGACAATATGGTGTAGCTACTGAATGATATGCTGTGAATAAAGCTTCGGATATCTGATCGATGAAAACGCATGTGAAGAATTTCAGCACCTTATGTTGGAAGCTATACGAAAAGATGGGCACGTATCACTGAAAAAATAGGTGAACATAGGTTTGACTTACATAAAGACCGCATTTTTAGACATTCACGTTCAATTTCAGCAAGCCAAATTGGAATCCGTACTAGGATAAAGATTTGGACGAAAATTGTATTAGAATCGCGCTATATTTTACATTATAGAAAGTCCAAGACCCAACTCAATCATAAAGTGCCGAACAAAAAAGTCCGATTCAGATAGGAACGAAGTCGAAAATGTCCAAAATAGAATGGAATGTCAACGGATATGAAATCCTAAGCACCGATGACATTCGTCATCTTCAATACGATCCTGGCCTACTAAAAGAATGTCCAAGCAAGTGAACATGAGCCAAAAACGAGGGAGACAGATGTGGGAGTGACAGTGGGCGCTGAGCCATCGGGGTGGACAGTAGAAGAGCACAAAAAATCACGTCAGAGAGATTTAAATGCCATCAAAACGATACGCACATCAACGTCAGGAACGCCAGAAAGTTTGGGCGTTTCATCGACAGGTGGTACAGAAGGGAGGACAGACGCCGCGGGAGAGTCGGGCACAGGAACAGGTGGGACATCAGATGATGTGGGGCCTTTTACAGGTGCGCTGCTAATGTTGGGCATGGGGACGCCAGTGGGGACTGCGGAATTAATTGGTGCGGGAGAGTTGGGAGCAGGGATGGGTTGTGAAAGTCCAGTTGGGGTTGGGTCGTTAACGGGAGGGAGGGAAGAAGAAGAGGGGGGAACGGACGCTGATTGAACAACGTATGGCAGATCTGTTGGCGCTGAGCCGTCGACGGGCGCAGATTGTGGAAGTGGAGGACCTTAGGGTGGGGTTAGTTCAAAGTCAGATGGCGCGGGTAGCGTTGAGCCGTTGAAGGACGGGACGGAGGACGCAAGAGGGCTGCTCGGTTCTCCGTGGTTGGGAGCAGGGTCCCCTTGTAGAAGCCCAGTTGGAGGCATCAGCGGAGGCAAGAGAGGTGAGAGAAGGTAGAGGTTGTGAGCCGTCGGTGGGCGGTGGGCCAATGGCGGGGGAAATTGAAGAGGCAGAAGCGTTGGGCGGGGGAGCGACGGATGCGTTGGTACTGAGGCACCGTATTGAGATTGCCAGGGTGGGGAGGGAGGGTGCTGGAATAGAAATAAGGACATTAACGTCGCGAGATCGAATATTTCTACTCACATCTTGATGTGCATCAGGGCCCGCAGGATGTTTTGTTGCAGAACCACTGTGTGGTGCGTCATCTGGCGTCTGAAGCTCTATGGATCCAGAAATAGGGCCAGAAGGAGGTGCGGAGGGAAGACTAGATCCTGCGAAGTAGTTTGGAGCGGGGACATTTTGCGGAAGGTCATTTGGTGAGGTTCCAGGTCGGTCGGTCGGCGATGAGCTGAGTGACGGAGGATAAGGGGTGATAGGCGTTCCAGAAACCTTGAGTGCAGGATTTTGTGGCGCGTTTGAAGCTGGTCCATTGGGAGATAGTTTTTGTCGGACCGTTGGCTGGCGGGAGTGATGGGGAGACCGATGCCAGCGTGGGATCCTGAGGTGCAGGAGCGCCTTCAAGTTGAGGGGAATTTCTGCTAGTGGACCTGTTGGAGGGTTTTGCACAGAACCGCCTTGTGGAAGACCAGTCGGAGCTGCACTTCCTCAAGAACGCGAGCTGCGACAGAAGATGGGCCATAGTAGGGCCATACGTCGGCAGGTGGCGATGAACCATCGAGAGATTTGGGAACGGCATAACCCTGCGCTGTACCAGTCACTGGAACAGATGTTCTGCGCTGGCGAGTACTTTGGCTCTCGACTACCCTGAGGCGGCGTGTTTTTCCGCTGGAAACTTCTGCGGAAGGTCGGTCGAAGCTGGATCATCGATGGGAGGGGTGAAAGAGAATGAAGAGGGGTGCTGAAAGAAGGTGTAAGAAATAAAAATTTAAATCAAGTCGAAGTTTACGTACCGTATCTGGAGTGACGTTTTTTGCGGGAGGTTGTCCTGATAGAAGTTGATTTGGTGTTGAGCCATTCACGGGCGTGCTAGAAGAAAAGGCGGTTGGGCGCTAAACGCAATTGTAAGTAACTTTTAAGCGATATCTTTCAATTTACGTACCCCGTCAGAACACGAGGTAGTTGGCACGGGAATACTTAAGGACCGGCATTCGCGAGGTGAATTGCACCCATTGCGAAAGCAATCAGTTTGAACCAATAGCCCTTTTTGAGATTGAAAGACAGCAAAACGAGAGAAAGGGGTTGGATTCAGTGAACCACTGGACATTCATTTTATACCGAATCACTGCGTAAACTTCCAGCCGCAGCTCGACTGTGTACAGAAAGAAAACTACCAGTAGTCATATGCACGCCAATTCTTGGCAGTGTGAAACACAATGGGTATCGCACGACGATAAGGGTTGGCTAAGGGTTGCGGGTAGAAACGATACAACATGGTGAAAAACGGGGAAGCACTCACGAATTTTGATCCGTTCGTCGTTCCAAAAAAGAGTGATGAGAGTGCGTCCCATCATAAGTCGGCCAATCTACAATCGTAATGTGCATATCCGAAGGCATCAGCTACTGCGGGGGCAGGACTAGTTAAGTACACGCACGTTTTGCCATATCCAGGATACTAACCCCAAACAGAAACTTGTCCGGAGCTGCGGCTCGAAAGTTCTAGGACACTCTCAATGTAGCCATAATCGGAGGGCGCGCGAGGACTCGTAGAAGGCTTGAGTGGTCAGTGAGCCACAAACTGAAACCCCGAAGGTTGAAAGTTTTCATCATTGTCCGTCGCCGTTGCGTTGGGTTGAGGTTGGTATCATAAAAGTCCTTGATTCGTACAAGAAAGTAGTATATTGAATTGAGTAATATGAAAATCACCTAATACTTTTGAAAACATTGGTTTTATGACGAGCATTACTTGGATGAGGAGAGGTGGAGAAGGAACGTAAACAAGTCACGCGACTTACGGGCCGAGTTGCTGCCGCCTAACCCACGCGTTGACAGTTGTCGATTCGCGCACAGCAGCCTGAGCAAAGATGAAGCCAAGATGAAGCCCACTCCGACCTCATCGACAAGCTTTCGACAAGCCCCATGCCCTCTCCTCCAACCGCCTCTTTTCCAGCACCGATTTCTTCAAGCAAGACCGCAAAGTCGAGGATCTCAACATTGAGCTTGAAGAACTCAAAGGGCGTTATTGCCTGGTTATAGCCTCGTCGAGGGGATAATGTTGTTACAAAGGCGAAGAATGTCGGTGGGGCGAGTGTGACGATGGTACATTGCTCTCATTCTGTCGCCCGTTCCTCGTCTAATCATTTACACGCAGAAATGGACCTTGCTTTGCTCCACGACGAGGGCAAATCCATCACCTGCAACGCCGCTGATACCGACCTTTCCTCACTCCACCTCCACTCCGTCACGACCCGACACAACTATGGCCGCATCTTCTCGTCACCAGCTCCCGGTTTTGCCATGGGAGCTGGATCGATAGGCGAGAGTTTCTTGCCGTACGAGGAAAGCGAAACAATTATCAGCACAGACGCCGGCGTTACGTGGCAGATGGACGAGACACGCATAAGTACGAGTTTGGCGATAAGGGGAGCAACCTGGTGGTGGTGAATGACGGGGACGGGATGGACAATCTGCGACGTTCTCTTGATTTGGGTAATTCATGGTATGTTCGCCTCCCTCGTTTGTCCTATGAAATCCTAACATTCCCAACAGAGTGAAATATGAGTTTGGCATCGAATTCCGAGCAAGGGCGCTTATGAGCCCCGACCGACTCGACCTCGAAGATGATCACCTTCCAGGTCGAATCGTTCAAGATCCAGACAAGGAAGTGTAGTAGTGGTGACACGTTTTGTTCTCACTCGAGCCTTCTTGCACCGAACCCACACTTTTTCCCTCAACATGAAGTCGTTCGGGGATCCTGCCCTCATTTCCTCGTCCTAATCCCCTCCTGGCGTACAACGTGGACGCTGTTTTACAAGTCTCTCGCACAGGCCGATCCCTCCATACAGCGCGGACGGATCAAGGTCTTATATCAAGCGTGTAGCGTGCCAACGACAAGGTCTCTTCCTCTTCATCACCCTCTCGCTTAGTGCTCACTTCTTATAGGCATTGTCATTGATACCTCTGCTAAAAACGCAGTTCGCCTGTGTGGTCTACCTACCTTTTGGATCAATACCTCGTTACCATCGACGCCTACAGCAAGTACGACAACGTCCTGGCATTCAATTCAACGTCGGAAACGGGTTCATCAACAGCTCATCCAACACACCAACGTCGCTCCTTTCGTAAAAGCAGCTTCTTGAGACCTCAAGCTCAAGGCCTAGCTGTAATCCATTCCGTTCTTTTCCTTCGCGTCCCTCTCACATTCTCCCCCATCAGCACCGCCAAAAAGTCCAATTTTCTCATCGGCTACGCAGCCATCGACGGCGCGGACAACTTCCCAGACTGGGTAATTCCTCAAACACCAACTCTGGGTCAACCGGGATCGACCGGGATCGACCTCTGTAACCTCAACAACTAGTTAGTATTCCACCTCTTCCCCATCCTCCGCTCTCCATTGACACGCCACACGTCACAGCGAGTGGTGCGGCAATTCCACCTTCGCAGGCTCCTACCCCGACACCAAAAACAACTTCGCCGGGTACAACGTCGCAGCCTACTTTTCTGAGTATGGCTGTGTCCCTCCCCGGTGCCCGCCCCTGGTTAGAAGTGGGCGCCCTTTTCTCATCCAACGTGTCTCCCGTCTGGTATGGGGCATCGCCTTCTCCTATTTTTCCAGCAGCCAGCGCAGGAGGTCAATTCGGCATAATCACATTGTCATCTGACAACAAGACCATCTCGACCTTTACCAACTTCGCCACTCAATACGGCGCTGCTGCTGCTCACAACTCTCCTGCTCAAGCTTCGGTTGTGGACACTGCCTTCCTTCCCCGCGTACCCAATGCAAAACAGCACGTTCATGGGATCGACTACTTTACCTGCCACCCCCAACTTGGCGGCTTGCCAATGTTTGGAGAGTGCTTTGAGCTGCCAGTTCATCCCTGTTGTTGGTGGTTATACGGTTGTTGCTGGGCAGTTGATCAATACCGCTTGTGGGCTGCTCGAGTGGAACGTGCTCCGATATTGCCGTGAATGGTGCTGATGGCAAGTACGGTCTTGTCTCGGGGTGTGATTGGGTGAGTTTCGTCGCCTTATTTCGTCGTCTTTCACTTTATCCACCCCTCTTCGCAGCCGTCAAACTCTTCTACGTCATGTCAGTCTCAAAATCGTAATGTATAGGCGTGCAGTTTCGCAGGCAACAGAACTGTTAACTCTCATACGTCCACCTCCGTCTCCGCCACTAGCGTCGCGTCTTCGTCAGCGCGACGTTTGCGCCGACTGCGCCTGCTAGTACATCTCGAAGTAGCTCGACAGGGACCACGTCAAGTGGGGGTGGGACGAAGAACAACGGTGTGAGCACGTTGGTTGGGGGTGGATTTGTAGGGATGGTGGAGATGGGTGTTGTGGTTGTGGTCAGTGGGATGTGGACGGTGGTGTAGGGCATGGTACGGTGGATGATGTTGATACTGTTCTTAAGGAGGGGGTGGAGCCTGAGACGTGTTCGGACTTCCAACTACCTGTACCTGACATCCTCGAACCCTGATTATCTGACGGAAATTTGTTTCTCGTTTTGTATATTTCATCGTAATGATACCTAAGTACTTGTTCTTCACTACATTTAAAGCATTTCAAGCTGACTGAGCTACAAGCTTTGCCAGAACGTAAGTGATAGGGGAGGAGCAGCAGAGAGTAGATATTACAAGAGTGGAAGGGAGGGTTGCAAAAGAAGAGAGGAGTCGGGAAAGCGTCCGTCTGCTGAGTGGTAGATCCATCACAAAGGCGACGTCGACATTCGAAACAGCGGCCTCCTTTGCAAAGGTTACGGTTCATGGTAGTAGTACATAGCCTAAGCGTCACCGCTAGTTTGGGTGGATTGCGGTCAAGCACAGAGAGTCGGTGGGTTACGTGAGTGGTTTCCCTTTCTCAGGCTGGCGAGATGCCATGTTGGCTGGCAGCCAGATATCATACCGACGGTCAAATGCCTTGGAAGTTTTGGAAGTGACCTGAGCCCTGTTTGTTTGACGCATGGTTTCTTGCGGTGGGATCCACCGCTCGTAAGACCTCTGTTGATGCCCAGCCATTCTCGGATGAGGGAAGGAATTTCGTGGGAGGTGAATATGAGGAGAATGAGGAGGGTAGGAGGAGAACCCTTATGCAAACGCCGAATGAGTGAGAAAGTTTTGGAAGATATGCCGGGAGCTTATTACCAGGTTGATTAGGAATCGTACTCCCTCTTTGGCGATCACCCTCTGAACTCCGTTCATCTTCATCCTCGTCATCTTCTGAGTTTTCGGACTCCTCGCTCTCAGTATCCGACTCCTCTCCACTACTATCCTCCTGCTCACTGTCGCCACTCTCGTCTGCGTGCTCGTCGTCGTTCCCCCTCATGCCTGCGACGCCACGACGCCAAACCCCACGTCTTACCCTCGGCCGCGGGCAACTGGCCCCAGCACTTACATCAGACCGTTGGTCGAGTCGTCGGCCGCGTTCGTCAAAAAGATTACGTCGATCTTTGCATTCGTTGTAGTAAGCGTCACGAATGGCGCGCATACGCTCTAAGAGAGACATCACGATACGAGAACCGGAAGGCAATTGCAGTAGTAGAAAAAGAAGAGGGAGTCCGTGCCGGAGTCTGTTGGCGAGGGAACGTGCGAGTAGGCAAGCAGTTACTGAGCCCGAATCGTGTAACGTGTTCTACCGGCCCGACAGTCTCTCCAGAGTGTCATGAACCATCGAAACACACCGTGACAATCGACGAGAACATAGAAGTTGAGTAGGTTAATAAATAGCGTCGAGAACGAATAGTTGATACGAATCCCTGCGTTTTTCTTGCTTTCGGTGAATGTCTTCCTGTGGCTGCGCGTACGTTTTACACACCGCAATGTAGCGGAAGAGTCCTTGGAACTTCTGAGCTCCATAAATCTCGTGATGGAGGGACATCCACAAGAAAGGCGTGATTTCATGAGAGTTGTCATGGAATCCGTGCGCTTCACCTGCAACGGTACGACCGCACAACAGGTAAGCACCTGACGAAAATGCTAGGGCCGTCGAAGTGTTGGTTGCCTCGGCAGGAGATGGTGATGACCCAATGGTTGGAGTATAGTGGATTGGGAAAGTATGACTAGTAGTGTCGTAGCTTGGTAGATCGCATGGTTTTGATTCGTCCGAAGCTCGAGGTGCGGCCTAGAGTATACCAAATCCTTGGGACTTTTCTTTTCCTGTAGCCCTCAATGGGAAGGCTGTCGAAATTTGTTCAAAACGGAGAGAATGTCGAAAGGCTGAAGTCGGGAAAGGCGAAATGATCTCGAATTTAATTTGTCTGTGCTCCACAACCAGCTTGGACGTAGGCGAACGCGGGGCGCATCAAAGTGAGACAGTCAAGGTGGGCAAGAGAGGCACACGTAGATAGCTCTGTCAAAAGCGGACAAGACCATCTGAAATTGATGCGTTTTGGAGGGAGGTATAAATGTGCATAAGGTAGAACGTCAACCCCTCGTAGCGCAGGTGAAAGAGGGGCGATAACTCGCTTATATGCGGGCCGTCCGTAACATCCTGATACATCGTTGATGTCTTGTCGGTTGGTGATACGAGGTCCGAAGAAGAGAGGAGGAGTGCTGGGTGCGTCAATCGGCGATGGTTGTTGGTGGTGTCCAATAGTATAGCATGGCAGTTCCAGAGCTGTGGAGTGATGAGCGTGAGGCGGAAGTTGAGTGCGTTGAATGTTATCATGATCTTTCTCGGATTGCCATCAACGGTTTGAGAATGGCCAGGATTATCTCCCGGGCCTGCTGGTGATGATTCACGGTGACGCGCTTCCGCTTCCTGAATACGACATTCGATTTACCGGATAGTATTTTGAAGGCTGGGTTGGGGCGAGAAACTGGTAATTTGGACAATCTTTGAAGGAACAGCAAGTCAAGAGGGATTTTCGAACAAAAGAAAAATGAGACGAAATACAACGCCAAGTGACGTGATGTCATCATCACGTGTCTTGTTCAAGCCTATCTATATTTCCTTCAAGTTTCGGTGCATTGATGAAATTGTATTCAGCACTCGCACTCTTGGCATATCCATCTGGCTTCTGCTCATAGAATTATCATGTCCCCTGACTACCAGAAACCGCACGTGCACCCACACCCTCTTCACATCGCCATCAGCACCACCTGCATCATGTACATTCGCGGAGACCGTATCTGTCTAGCAGCGCGTTGAGATGCTCCTTCGCGCTAACGAGATCAACGGGATCGCTATGAATTTACCATCACCTATGACCACGACGACAAGTAAAAATGCTTACCCGCATCTAGGCCATTACTCACGAAGACAAGACGAGTGGTAGTAGGCGCGTGCACGTCCATCAGGATCAACAAGCATAAGGAGGAGCGGGTATGCGTATCGCGATGCTGTCGGTTGCAGAAACAGCCGGCGGGAGGACAACAACCGAGTCCACTGGCTGAGCAGGGCCAGGTTCAGCAGTATCGGATGCACCAGCCGTCACAGGCGCACTGATGCAGAAGCCAAATTACCCGGATAGTGGCGGTAGTATTGAAGCAGGGGGGAGTGTGCGTGCTTTGCCTGGGTGTGCTAGGTGTGTCTGTTTTCTGCCTTTTCCAATGTGTTTGATCCACAGACGTTCCTTGCCAGAGTCTCGTTTCGCGTTTTCTTTCTGGCCTTTGGAGCATCTTCCTTTGACTTCTCTTTCTTCCTCTGTCCTGTTTCCGCTCCCATCCCTCTTGAGGGGTAAAGTTCTTGTCGAGGGGTTCTGGGATTGTTTGCGATCGGTAGGTCTCCCTTTTACTTTCTTTGTGTGTTAGATTCTTCCCATTCTTTTCCAAACCCCGGCTTAGGCTAACGAAATTCCACATTCAGGAAATCAATGAAACACGTCGAGAAGCAAGGAACCCTTGAGACGCAACAGCGACTGGCGGTCATGCACCAGCGTTAGCAACAGCAGCCTTCACGAGGGGGAAGTCGCATCTCCCGCTTTCTGAAGGGTCGGAACGATCGATACATAGGATGAATACAGTTCTTACACATCATGGCGGAGGGAGAAGTTTAGCCCCCGCAATCGCATTTGCACGTGCAAACGCAGGCTTTACCTCATTCACCGCATTCACCCACGCATACATCCCACACGTCGCATTTGTAAACCCCCACGGTCACACCTAGTCCGAACCGTAGCCCTCCGCCTTCTATAGCCCGTTGGAGGAGGACGGAGGGGAGGACGAGGACGCTGAATATGAGCGTAAACAGGAGCGTGATAGGGAGGATGGCGATTTGGAGTAGTTGCCGCTTGCAATCGTTGGGAGGGGAGGAGGGGTAGAGAGTAAGAGCTGGGCGGGTGTGAAGAATGACGGTGTAACTGCCGCTGGGGGTGGAGCATGCTTGTGGGTGGAAGGGGAGGCACGACTGCGGGTGGTGGAGGGAGAAGCGCCCTTGTCGTAGGAGCCAGCTGGGAGAAACATACCGTCAGGAGCGAAGAGAATGATGCCGGCAAAGAAGAAAAAACTCTGCTGGGTGCGGCGATTTTGACACGCATAGGATGGGAGGATGGGGCTTCATATCGAGTTTGGTTGCTTCTTTCTATTTTTTCCTCTCCCTCGTCGTCGTCACTATTTGCCACCATCACACCCTCCTTGCTATGCGAGATAACCCTCCCGCGTAAGCGTGCTATCATTCATGCACCTGCCGCGGCTTTTACCTACATTTCATCGAAGCAATACGGGCACCGCTCTCAGCTATAATCTTGAACCAAGCACTCCTCTTTCTCTGTACGTCATGTTACGATGGATATCCATTCGCCCCCATATCTGGCTGTCTCGGGCACGACATCACCACCGAGATTCAGTGTTCCTAACCCTTTCTTCCTCGTAATCTTATCCGTACTAATCATTTTCGCTAGTCCTTGGACTGTAACTTTGACTGGTTAGGAAACTCCACCCTCATAAGTATCTTAAACCATCTCTAAGTCTCGTCGCTATGGGAAGAATGTGAGTTTTCTCGTTCCATCTCGAGAGCGAATTGAACGAGAGTGTGCATGATTAGGGGAGGGGGTTGTTCGGGTGACCGGGATGAGAGTGGATTCGAGATTTTAAATATGAAACTAGATGTGTGTTAAAGTCTTGTTGACACTGCTTCGTTCTAATTTACATGTTATGCTCGTCTGCGAGGCTCAGTTGCGACACCTGCTTGAGTCGACAGAAACAAAAAATTTCAGTTGTGCAAGAACTACAACTTAAATGGAATACTATTGTATGGATACACATCCCAACCTATTCACGATCACCAGAACTTTCCAATTACGCGATCGACAGTTGCTTTCATCGTATGTATCTCCTTGCTCGACGATCAAGAAGTGTCATGAGGCTGACAACCCATTTCACTCAGTGTGGAACGATGCCTCCACTCCATGTTAACAAGTAGGGTCGTTCTTAACATCAGAGATTATGTTCGGAATGCCTGTCCTGGATGGTCAGACGGCGTTACCGAAATCCAGGTCAATTCCGGCGTTATTCGACACCGGAAAACGAATTCGACAGAAAACCCTGACAATGTGATTCCATGAATTGGCTACCACTTCGAAGTGTATATAGTAATAGAGAGACTTACTCAATATAATTTTCTCAATTTTCGGCACATACCGGGGCTCCAGCGGGTATTATTATGAAAATGGTCTTTGGTTCGGCAAAGCGTGCAAGGTACAAACCCCCGGAGTGGATCGGAAAAGATGAGATGTATGGGTTGCGCATAAGGTAAGGATGACTGACGGTGTAGAGAGTACGTGGACGGAAATAGATAACACAATGAGCGTAGTTTGACCTCGCAGAAGTGGATTGGTTACGTGCGAGATGGTAGGACCAGTGAGGTGGTCGACAAGTGGTCGAGTCTCGAGAAGAGAGAATTCGGTCCGGGGCGAGGAAATTTGACGAGAGATGGATGATTACTTCGAGAGACGATGCGATTTGGTAGGAGAGTTACTGATATGACCTTGCGATGAATATCACGGGCCCAAAGTGAGACGGACCACGGTCATGGGCGACTAATAGTGGGTTCAAACCAAGTTTCCACGGGATATATGAACAGAGCGTCGGGAGATATGGCACAATACGTGGCAGGCGCTTTCCTCGTCGCCCTCGCAAACTCTCGACTTGTCCACTGTTGTGTTCCAGCTGAACACCTGATCCCCAACGGTCCCGCCCTACATCTGACGCCCGACGTAGTTCCCCTCATTTCCTTTTCCTATCATTTACGCAATTACCTGGCCTATAGCGCGGCTTAAACCTTTCTCGCGATCCGGACTTGCTGGTGTTGCTGAGCCCAATTTACGGAGTATTGCATGACGGACTTGAGGTATATCCACGCGCTACTCGGCGCTGGTCAGCACTTATTCAGGTCTTGACTTTCTTTGACTATCGACCGCAAGCCAACCGCATGAACAGCTGCTGGTTCATGTGGTGACATCCAGGCGCGTGAGCGACTGTGAGAGACAGTAATAAACGCGGTAGTAGTGGTGGGGCTGGTGACCTTTGTCAAGCAAAGCGAGGCCGGCGATGTCGAGAGAAAACTCACCGACTTGTCCTGGGAACTCAGTCACCCTATTCACTACTGAGTGGAAATCCCCATTCTAAAAGAACGCGTATCTCCTGGGTGCGGGCGCATAGTATATCCAGCTTCCCAGATTGGACTTATGGCTCATTGTCATCAGCCGAGGTGGAAAGAAGTTGGCTATCAAATCCCTTCGTTACAGAGAAAGGGCTACGTCACGAGATTCGAGAATGGCTGGCAAACGTCTCCATCAATTGACATGAGACATTGAGTGCGACAACCCGCCATCGAGGAAGACGCACGAGTGTGAAGTTTGAAGGAATTGGGACGCAGGGGTGGGGACACAGAACAGGTCGGGGTAGCGTTATCGCCTCTTCGCCTCTGCCAAGTGATGAGATAAAGCAGAGGATTCTGATAGCCTGGGCATGGTGCGACATCTCCGTACATGCTCACTTTCCTCTTTGGCCGTCGTGTATGTTCCAAGGCGCGTCGGTATAGCCCGACTTTATGATGCCGATTCACGTGTAGGACTTTCAGCACCACAAATGTGTTTTGCGGATGTAGTCTAACCTATCAAGAGTACCATCTGAGCACACAGCGTCTGGTAGGAAACTGAGGTGGGAGAACAAAGCGGGGAACCAACAGAGGCCAGAGGTGGACGTCTGCGACCTGTTCAGGCATAATCCGCTTCTGCTCGCTTGATTCCCACCAGTCACATGCAAACGAACGTACTCTGAAACACAGTACGTGGATGCCAGCAACAGGAAGAAGTTGAAAACTTGAGAGCCCTGGTCCATCGTGGCACCTCGCGAAGATTCACAAAGGTCCTACGGAGCTGGAGACGGAGGCGAATACGTGACGGATTTGAGGGATGGAGTGTGGCTTGGAGTGGACATGGTCACCTCGGACCACACAGGGCTCGAGCGCTAGCACCGATCCATAGATCTGAAAGGTCGTCGACAGAGACTGACACTGCCGAGTTCGCGTGAAGCTACGACAGGAACAAAGCGTAACAATCAACATTAAGGCAGAACAGACAGAGAGGTAAGCCTTACAAAGACTTTGCGAGACCGCAGCCCCTTCCTAGCCCTCTTATTGCGCACCTCACACTTTCCATACAAGCCGCAACACCGGCACCAAACCCACACCAAACCAGCGTCACCTGCCACCCTCCAATACGCGCCCACACGAAGCATCGAAAATACAACGCAGCATTGACCCCAAACCACATCTACCAGATCCCGTGCGTCTTCCCCGTCCTTCACTAACACCTGAACCATCTTATTCATTGCGTTGTTAAGGTGATTGAACTATTTCTTTTCTTGCACGATGACGTGACATTGTGCAAAACCGTAGACCAAATACGCGTGATCCACGACATGGGACATGTCTCCAGAATGGAGAACTTGGTACCCAGGAGGATACCGTCGAGAGGCGTGATACCAATGCCAAATTTAATTGATGGTTGATGGTCCTTGCGCTAATGAACACTCCGAAGGGGAGGCGGGAAAGAAGGAGGGGTCATGGCGCTGGAGAGGCAGCACGTTACAAGGCAGAAGGAGGTGTCGATTTGCGAGGAACTGAGGGGTATATGCTGTTTACATCGTGGGACGCCGTTCATCAGAGTCAACGATGATCGATGAGACATTTGTGAGAGGTGCGACCTCGTCCGCGTCCCGACGTGCACAAATGACTTCAGCCGTTATGAGAACTGGCCTCGCATCCCATGCGAGTGGAAAGACCGCGCTTCTCGATGGCCAGTTCCTCCTCTTCGAACACCCCTTTAGCGTCCTCGTCGAATGCTGGCGTCGGTGTTGGCGAGGTGGGTGAGTATTGCAAGATGTGTACGGCTTGGGGTGAAGAACTTGGTGAAGGGATATCGATATTGGATGGCCTTCGTCAACAATCGAAAGTGGGAGTGAAGTTGTTTGTGGGGGGAAATTGAGCGGACCTTGAATGAGGGAAAGCAGGGACAGAAGGGGCGAATAGCTCGGCTAAGGCTACGAACATCCAAGCACCAAAAGTACGCGTGCGAGGGCGAACAGCCATGATTTGATGGTCCGGGACACGTCCGACCCACTTCTTCCCGCTCTCCTCGTCCAGCGCGTCCTGGTTCATCCCACATTCATTATCCCAACCAACTATCCCCGCCATGACAGACTGTCCCAGCGCGGACGTGATGCCCCATACCGCGCTAACCTCTCCCGCAACTCTGCTTAACGATGGAAAGCCGCATCCGATGAGGATGCCTGTGCGATGCCATGTTGAATGCCATGACGGTCGAGATTTGTGATGGTAGCAAAGACAACGAATTGTTGGCGCTGGATGCGAGGGGGGGAGCGAAGCCTCGGGAGATGCCTTGGATGGGAACGGCGGAGAGAGTGTGAGCGGTCATGCACATGCACATGAGTGGGCGAGGGCGAGGAGGAAGGTGAGGCAAGTCGTTGGATATCGAGATATTGGATGGGCATTTCTGAGGCGGGTGAAGTCGCCATTCGGAGGTGGTCGGATCCTCTAGAAAATGATGTTGAGCTATAACGATAAGTGAAAGAGGGAAGGCGAACCATATCGTTCATCTCCTCGCTCCATACCCACAAGGAAGATTTGACGTGCTAGGCCCAAGCGTGGCAACGGCAAGCCCTACGATCAACGAGTTGGAGTGCTGCAAAGCCAACACCACGTAACGGACCGCCCTTGGCTTCAGTTAGAGTAAGGAGAATCGCACTACACATCAGAGGCTTGCTTGGGCGATTCCACAACAATGAAGGAGGAAGGCAGGGAGGAGCAGAGAGGAGGCAGATGATGAGTTTTCCGAATGAGAAAAACGTGGAGAGTGAATTTGGTGCCGGGACCGCGAGAGTTGTGTTGCTACACTTGTCAAAAAGCGAAGAGGAAAGAACACGACTTCGACTTTGATCACCAAACTGAGATTATGTCATCTTGGTAACACTTGTTTCTTGCGCGCTCTCAAACGAAAAATTGGCAAGCACTACAGGAGGAATTGCAGTTCAAGTTGGAGGGTCCAGTATGTTCTACTACGTGTTTAAAAAATTGATGACTTCTCTGACGTAGATACGAACTCAGTTATGGCCATCAACATTCTCCAGTAGCCAACTTCTCTTAGAAAATCGATGCTAAGACGCGCTCTAGTCTGATATGTCAAAGTACAATCACTTCAAGAACCTATTCTCTAACCCCAAAAGCTCGTCTGGTAGTAGGGAACGACAGAAACAATGGGTAAACACGTTAGGCAATCCGGTTTGTTTCTTCTTCTTCCGTTTTCGCTTTAGATGTAAGGTTGATGTTGTGCATTGTATTAGATATGCAAATACTGTGCTCAGGACCCAGTAAACGGATTTGCGACGTTGAACGAGTCACCTGCAAAGCATGGCAAGACCGACATCGTTCGTGTCCGAGGTGCATGATGGAATCCGTCGCTGGGAATCTGGGCGACTTGCGAGCAGTATCGAGTCATCTTTACGAGGAAAGGCCGAGGAGTGGCAATGGCGAGCACTAGGAAGGGCTCTACGAGGAAGGCGAGGGAGAGAAGGTGAAGGATAGGAAGAGGAGGTCTGCTAGATTTGCGTCTATGGCTGCTGTGGGCAACCCGTTGCTGGAACGTCGGCTGGGCCGTTGCAACTTTCTGGGCTTAAATCTAACTCGGAGAGTCTGTCGCATTTGGATGACGACGAAGACGATCCCCTTCCTCGAATTCTGCGGCAATCCCATCCGCGTCTACGTCGACATCTAGAGCACCCAATTTCCAACTGCTACCAGCAGCCATCTCACGCTCGAAGGATGGTCGCACGTCCACCTCTCTCGACAACGTTTCTCGTACCAATAACCTCGTTCCTCCCATTCCCTCCTCCGGCGCCATTGTCACCCGCAACCGCAGCAGTACCACGCAGGAACTACCATGGCCTGGCGTAAAACGACCGGGTAGTTCTTTCCTTCCTACCCCTGAGGAGCACCCCCGTCAACGGAGCTATCATACGCGTTGACCTCAAGCGCAAAGTCCAAGAACTTGAAGCGATGCTCAGAGAGCGGGACAGGGCCCTCAAAAAATAGCATGAAGTCTGCGTAAGAGGCGATTCACGTGCGTGGCTACTTGAAGGTCAACCAAGGGACTCGGATAAACGTCTGGAGGAGTGTAGCACCCGACTCAATGAACGGAGTCTAGGGAGCTCGAGGAAACACTTTGGGAATGCGATACGCTTCTTAAAGAACGGGATACCTGGCTCGAGAAGCTGGAATCTCGTGTGGAGGGTTGCATGCTCGGCTACTTGAAATAGCCTGCATTCGCAGCGTTCCTCCTTGCATAGCTTGGCGCGCTATGCCCAAGGATCAGCGTACAGTGACTTCTTCCCGGACCGTATGGCCCCAGGTCATGAACCCCTGCGTGAGATAGATCAGCCACAGGAGTCCGTAAATGTAGTGGATTGAATCAAGGGCGCTGATGGGAGATCCACGGGACCTCCTGGTGAAGTGACTGTATTTACTCTTATTGTGCAGGTCAGGAATCTCGCTCATTACGGCTTGTCTGTCCACTCACCTTTTCAAGCCTTTTCTCTGTTCTTAGTTCCTTAGCTATCGAGTTATAAGCTCGCTCAGCGCAGACGAGTCGACTGACGTGCGCTTCCTTGGATTGTGATATGAAGCCTGCAGATTAGGCGTGAGGAGTTTCTGGCAGGAAGGAGGCGCCTAAGAGGTGCTGCGCAGCATAGATAAACGACCGTTGACCAACCGTTACGGTAACTACCCGGATCTCAATGATAGATTTCATTCCAATGACAGCTCATCCCATTTCTAGAACACCTATTTCCTCGGGCGTGGCTTTCAAAATTGGAACACCTTCGATACACGACGTCAAAAGCGCGACAAACTGAGGTCTCCGCGCTTCCCGCTCTCGTCAATCCCTCCCTGGTCCGCGAGCCGCATTGCGAGTATGGGCAAGGTAGGTCGTGTTGTTCTATCTCGAAGGACGCCGCTTAGGTTCTCATTAGCTCAAGATTCCAACCAAACTCGGTCGACATGCTTTAGAACTATCACACCCTCTACCAACCTCTCCAACACCAGATCTCTGCGCTTCTAACCGACAGCCAAACGAAACTGAAGTAGCTCGCATCTTACATGCTATCAGCCAGGCCGAAAGTGATCTCGCGGAGCTTGCGCAGGAAATCAAGACCAACCCACGAGATGCAAAGGTTCGACAACGGTACATCGCTTGCAGTCACTTCCTTGAAGAACACAAAGGTCCCTTATCCCCGGTACGCCGGTTGCCATACGAGGTCTTGGCGCAGATTTTCGATTTTTGTGCGAACGATTTGGAACCGTGTTGGACGGTTCCCTCGTGGACCTTGGCTCAGGTGTCACGTCGATGGAGGGCTGTTGCATTGACTTTTCCGGAGATTTGGGGTGTTGTCCCTCCGATAAGGTTTCCAATGAAGGATAACGGGGAAAAAACTGTTCCAGTGCTGAAGGAGGTCCTCCATCGTTCAGGCGAGCACCCGCTTTCTATACACATCTCTTCTGACGAGAATGGTGTCGTTGATCATGCCATCTTTCAACTCCTCATCAAACATTGCATGCGGTGGCGAATCGTTGTTATGGATCTTGAAGTGCGTGATTTTATGGCACTTACGCAGTTCATCCGGCATCGTTTGACCTCCTTATATTCACTCAAAATAACTGTTCGAATGCCGCACGATGAGGACTATGTCCTTGAAGCGTTCAGCATCGCTCCCATGCTGCGAGAGGTGGAAATCGATTGCCCGCGGGTACAGCTCCTTATTCCTTGGGAGCAATTGACGAGATATACAGAGCGCTCTACGGATTCTATCGGCGTCATACAGGTCCTCAGCGTCTCTTCCGAGATCAGCTATTTCTCTTACTCTACGCGGGCTATCGTTGCTATCCAAGGTCACCTCAAGCCAAAGACGCTCAGTCATATGACTACGTTGCATCTCAACTTCTACAATCCATGGGTATCGGGCACCTTGATTATTTCAAGCCTTACCTTACCCGCTCTAATCGACCTCCACGTTCGGTCTTTAGACGCCTCACTAGTAGACGACCTCATTGACCTAACTCTCCGTTCGAAATGCGCGTTGGAGAAGCTCTCCATACATTCCTTGCCCATCAAAGGTGGTGTCACGAGGATTCTACTTTTCACTCCCTTTCTTACCGAATTCAAATGCAATGACTTCACAATCGACGACATAGAACGCCTCGTCGCTATCCCCGGGATCCCCTCCGTCGTGCCCTGCCTCCGAAAGCTCGTCATCCACCTGGACACGGCCATGAGAGAACTCAACAAGATGATACTAAGTCGGCATTCACGCAGGGAGAACGTCGCGCTGGAGTCTCTAACGCTGATATTCACGAATGCAGTTGAGTGTTTTGAAGCACAGTGCGTGCTGGAAGGCTGGGATAAGGTGGATGGAAAGCTTGGAGGGGTGATTGGGGAATGGAGAGCGGACCTTGAGAAGGAGCTGATTAACTGGGTGACACCTAGTCGGGAAGGCTCGTGGAATACGGCGATGATGAACGTGAAAGTGACGCATCAGCTAGGGATTCATTTCCGGACGCTGGAGAGCTATGAGTTCTCGGACGCCAAGTATATTTATGTGCGTCTTTTTAAAAAAATATGTGTGGATGATGTATATTTGAGCTTTGATCGATTGACATTGTAGCATTCCGGGATTCATATTGTGATGAAGAAAGTGGGCAATATGGTGACAAGCGGTCTTCCTCAGGTCGAGGCCTACAATTTCAAGGAGAGAGCTCGTGCTCTTGTTGACAAATGGGAGCCGCTCCTTCTCTTAGATCTGCCTAACCGCCACTGGATACGTCGGGGCGTGGCGACTCTGGAATATGTGCCTGATTCTAGCGGTCAGTAATTTTTGGGCCGGAGTTCATGGCTTCATTAACGGGCTTCTTCTTTCCAGATTTACGACATTCTGCGGCAGGAATACATGATATTATTTTTGGTGCGGATATGGGTGGACTTGATCTCGTGTAGCCTATTGGAATCCTATATTTTTATCAGGGAACTAGTCCCTAGTTCAACTTGAATTTTGTTAGGCTCAGTCTCCCATGCTCCGCATCGGACACCGTCCAGTTGTTCGACGTAAACTTGTAATCCTTAAGTGAGGGTCGGGCGCGATGGATGGGTTGGGGTTGTACATCTGCATGCGTGCCTAATTTGCAAACCCTCTCTTCCGAGCTTCGACACTCGCGCTATCAATTACCCAACGCCATTGGCAGCCGGAGAGCAAGCACATATCCACGGAAGTTTACCAGCCTACCACCAAGAAGGATTGATACTTACCGCGAACACCGTGACTTCATTAGTAGAGCCGGACAAGAGTAACTTGATCATAAACCCAAAAAAATGAGTCTATGAAAATCCTTCCGTTACAAACGGATCGGTATACTGCCCAAATTTACTGGGTACATCTATTTACCAAAGGCCGATGAAACAACCAAAGGAAACGGCGTGGGCGGAACCTCCTTCCCAGGCGGACCAGCGGAGACGCCCAAATTAGACACCTCTCCGCTCTCCACGTCGTAAACCCAGCCATGGATGTACACTGCGCCTTGATCATGGGCGTAGTGCTGTTGATTACTTTTATTAATCCGCGAAGAACAAAACAATGGGAAAAGGAAGTGACTCACATGTCGAATCAACGCTGAATCACTGATCCTCTTCACGTTTGCCTTGACATTCTCTTCCACTAGAGCCTGGAACGCAGCTAAGCAAAATAAATCTCAGCACTTGTCCATGAAAACGGGTGCTTGACAAACGTACAGCAATGTAAATGAAGCAACTCCTCCATGCACGGTTGTTTTTCCCGATGGCGCACAATCTCCCTACAACCCATCTCCACATCAACAAAACAAAACAACACAAAACAGAGAAAAGAGAAGGAAAGTGCTAACCGCTCAGACGTCTCATACAAATCCCGAATATTATGTATCCAGCTCTGGACCGCCAAATTTGCAGGACTGAACTGCAGTCCTTGCTTCTCCGCATCTTACAGTTGGTGATTGTAGTGGGGACTGGAACGGGAGCATAAACTTGAAGGCAGCTACGCCTCCGCATCCGTAATGCCCCAGTACGACCACATGTTTGACTTTGAGTGTCGATAGTGCGTATGCGAGAACCACGCTCCTATTGATAGAGATAAGCTAGTAAGTAAGAGCCAATGCGCACAGGTGCCAAACGGGAGGTGAAAGTGTGGTGGGGGATAAGATATAAACGTGCGGTAAGTGAACACTGAGGGATATGCGAATCCTAACGGATATAACACGAGAAGTGCACAGACCACAAATGTGTATCACCCATTATGGATGCCTCGAGATGAAGGGGGAAAAAAGGTAGCATAACGAAGCAAGGTGGTTGAATCGGGAGATATAGTGGTTGAATCGGGAGATATAGTGGTTGAATCGGGAGATATAGTGGTTGAGACAGATCCTGGTGGTGTAAGGAACAAATTCTGGGCACCAGGATGAACGTAAAAAGCGAGTGAATAGAAGAATGGTGCAAAACCAGAAAAGAATTAACCAAACTGCCAAAGCAAACACTTACGAGCTCATATCGGCCTCGTCGAATTGGTTTGCGATATTTCCTGCGGTGAATATTGTATCTGGGTTAGCTGAAAAGATGCCTTGTTCATTTACCCTGCTGTCTGAGCAATCAACAAGCATAAATGGCGGACCTGGGCGGTGGGTTAGTGACAGGTGGCAAAGTTATGGGAACGAGTATGGATGAAAAGCAATGAGACGGGACGAGGGACGTACGGATCTTGGGGACATGTGGCAGTAAACAGAACGGAACCATGACAGCCATTGAATAAACACGTACGTTGACCCTCAATCGCCAGATTCTGCAACAGCCCAGGATTAGTCAACCTCATGGTCTTCATGTATTCCTGATTTCCGCGGTACAGTGCTTCGATAGCTGGACATGGCTTGCGCGTTTTCTGGTCCAGGTGTTGTGTGGAGCAGTGTCTGGATATACCGCTCTGCGACAACTGTCTATCCTGCACAGAAAGTTGAAGATGAGCTACGCGAACGTTCAGCCAAGGAGTTTCATGCACAAAGTATCGTGCAAGACGAACCATATGCGCGCTGGCTGTGTCCGTGGTATAATGCACGACCTGCACACGAGCATTGTTGAACAGGACAGGTACGCTGGGCTGCGAATTTCGAGAGTTGTGTTGTGATTGCTGAGAGGGGCATTAGGGCAGAGTAGAAGTGGTAGGAGAGTAGAGGGTCGGACCTTGACTTGAAGTTCATGTGGGTGGCCGATGGAAAAACGCGAAAAACGTGACCAACAAATTGATACTAACACGTGCTACGGTGCTCTAGTCCGACGTACAACCAATTCACGAACTTATTCTGCAACCTCAAAAGCTCGTCTGGTGGCAGGGAACGACAGAAACAATGGTTAGATGCGCTAGGCAATCCGGTAAGTTCTTTCCCTTCCGTTTCTTCTTGGATGTAAGGCTGACGTTGTGTATTGCGGTAGACATGCGAGTACTGTGCCCAGGACTGTAGTAAACGGATCTGCGACGTGGAACGAGTCGCGTGTAAGGCGTGTAAAGACCGACTTCGTGTCCGCGGTTCATCAAGTTCATGATGGAAACTGTCACTGGGGATTTGGGCATCTCGAATGAGACGTACAAGCGGTATCGAATCAACTTTACGAGGAAAGGTGGGGGAGGGGCAGCGGCGAGTACTAGGAAGGGTTCCTCGAGGAAGGCGAGGGAGTGGAAGGTGAAGGATAGGGAGAGGAGGTTTGCAGGTCTGCGTCTATGGCTGCTGCCAAGGATCGACAAAACGGACAACCCGTTGCTGGAACGTCCCTGTCCGCGTCCGCTGGACCTCTGCCTGTCCCAGGGTTCGAGTCTGACTTGGAGAGTTTGTCGAGTTTGGCTGACGAAGACGATCACCTCCCTCGAATTCCGCTCCGATCCCACCATCTGCGTCTGCGTCGACATCTAGAGCACCCAACAACTTCCAATTGCCACCATCACGTACACCCAGCAGCCATCTCACGTTAGAAGGATGGTCTCAGTTATGCCTCAGGATGTCCGCCTCTCCGTTTCATGTACCAAGAACTCCGTCCCCCCCACTCCCTCCTCCGGCGCCATCGTCACCCGTAACCACAGCAGCACCGCCCAGGAATTAGCAGGCCCTGGCGTGAAACGCCCAAGTTTCCTTCCTCCCCCTCCTCCTCGCACACCTGTCAATGGAGCTGTCACTCCCGTCGACCTCAAACGTAGAATCCAAGAACTCGAATCGACGCTTAGAGAGCGGGACAGGGCCCTCAAGAAACAGCACGAAGACCGCGTAAGAGGGGATGCTCGTGTGAGGCTACTTGAGGGTCAATTAAGGGACTCGGATAAGCGTCTGGAGGAGTGTACCGCCCGACTTGATGAAGGAAGGCTCGAGGGACGCGATCCGCTCCTCAAAGAGCGGGAGGCCCGTGTACAGGAGCTTGATCAGCTTCTGAAAGAACGGGATACAAGGCTTGAAGAGCTGGAGTCTCGTGTTGAGGGACTACATGCTCGTCTTCAGGACCCGTCCTCAAAGGGAGACGAGCGTCTTCGTGAACGGGATGCACGTATCGAGGAACTCGATGCTAGGTTGGAACAGAGGTGGGATTCGTGGGTTTCAGAAGAGCGCGATAAGCTCTCTGCCCGCATCAAAGAGCGGGAACAGCGTCTCAAAGAACAGGACGCCAGGATCCTTGAACAGGACATCCAAATCCAGGACCTCACCAATCGCTTATCGGAACGTCGCGAAGAAGAGAACCGCGTGTTGGATGCGAGGAGGGTGGAAGATCTCGAGAGAAGGTTACGTATTCAGGAACAGTTGAGGATACAGGAAGAGAGGATGAGGATTGAGGAAGGGAGGTTGTATTGGCTTAGAGTGGATAAGTTGGAGGGGATGGTGAGGAAACGGGGGAGGGGACGTTGATGTGTGAGATTGGGATTCAAGTTCAAGCTGATGATCAATCACACCCACACGACGAAGAACTCGACGACCGCGAGAAGGACATCGGTTCCAGAGCACAAGAATGTGCGCAGCGCGAACTTGAAGTACGGGACCGGGAAAGGGAAAGGGATAAAAGGAGACGGGGGCGCAGACCATAAGAAATGGCGAGACGTAACGAGTGAGCAGGCGGACACCCAGAATATGGATGGGGAGTGTGATTATTAGGCAATGAACATGAAAACGCACGACAAGCAGCTATAATTGAATGTCGGCGCGAGTACCTGTCGGCAAGTAAGCCCGCTGAAAGGGCACCAAACAGAGCCCCAAGCTCAAGGACAGCAGCTAGAAATTGGGCATCACAAAACCAAACTTGGTTCAATTAAAAAAAAATTAGCTACTCAAAATCCCCTTCTGTAGCGGCGTAATGGGCTAACGGCGGATGAAGTCTTCCATAACTAGCACGTTTGCAATCTACTCAAGCAGATGGTAAGCATCTTAATATGTTCAAACGCCATGAGACACGTAAATCAACTCACCACGCCCTGGTCATACCCAAACTCCAGCCCTCCAATGCTAGCAAAGAACGCACACGCAAGCGCTTATCCATTATACCAGAGCCCTGCAAGCCCAGGTGGCCCATATGCGTATGTATAGCTTCGCCCGTCAGAGAGAATGGTCAGCGACCCTTTGTGTTGTTTCCCCCCTCGAATGGGCGGTAGCAGAGGTGCATGTTCTAAGTCATGATCAGTTGAGACCAGCCCCGAAGGAGAAGACTCAAACGTCGAGGAAGATGATGAGGTTGCGGTGTCGAGTGCTATGTAACTGTTGGCATTACGGGTGCTCTGTAGGTTGCCGCTGGCATTAAATCTTGGGAGCTCAGGGAAATGTAGAGTAACTCACCATACGTATCGCTTCGGTTGTTGAAGGCAGCGTCGCCGTCGTTGTTAGGAGCGGAAGTCGTCGTCGTCGTCGAGGAACAAGTCAAAGCCCGCCCACTTCGATAGGTTGAGTCACGTGTACTAGTCTTCCACCCTGGCTACTTACAAACTTTACCCTCAGGGATCAATAGACCTGAGAAGGGCCGGTTAAATCTGGATACATTTCTAGGAGAGGTCGCGCAGCTCACCTCATTGCGCTAGCTAATCCTCAAATCAATCATTTTCAACAATATACTACCGCCCGGAAATCACCACTTCTCTTCCAATCTCGATATGCTAACCTTGGAAGATCTCAGCATCGACACGCTCCTCGCCATCCTCTTCAGATGTGATCATCCAGACCTTACGACCCTCAAGCTCGCTAGGTGTCCCCTGGACGCGATGCCCGAATATTTCCTCCTAAACATCCCTTGTTTGGTGTTACAGGATCTCGCCCCCACCGTGAACCTCATGGAGATTTTCGACAGATGGCATGGAATGGGACTCGAAATCGTCGGCTGTCCAACCTTTGATGACGATGTGCTGAAGCGACTGGGCATGCCAGGCGTAGGCGTGAGCATTCAGGAACTGGCCATCTTTGATTGCACAAATTTTTCTGTCTCAGCTTTACAGGAAATGGTATAAAGCAGGCTTCTTTGGGCTGGTCTTATGCAGACTCTAAAAGTGGCGGGTGAAGGGCCGGCTATCACAGACGACGAACGGGCGTGGTTTGGAGATCATGTAGCAGAATTCTCAGCTGACGAGGTTGTATTGGCTGATCCTGAATGACTTACTTGGGTGGATGGCCCCCCCAAAGTTCGGCTTGCGGGCAAAGACTCATCCCAAATTTCCACTACGACATAACGCCACTTTATCCTACCTGCAGTGATATGATAAAGTAAGTGCAAAAAAGGCCCACTTTTTCTAATGCTTGCGATAAGTGTAGAAATTGTTTATCCACTTCATCCCCACCTGCCTCTTCGCACTCCGCATGCCCGTCGCTTATGCCCATCACCTCAAGGGCACCAATTCCAACTACATACACATTTTCGAATTGCCTGAATTGATACTGAACCCCTGTTCTTTTTTTTCGTGGCGTACTCACCCTTTCGTTGAGTCTCCACTTGCAAAAATACTTCTTTCTGCCCTTTTTCCTTGCTATCCGTCCAAAAGGAACCGTCTTGCCTTTCCGTTCATTCTATTCCATGCCTGAGACATTTCCTCGGCTTCATGTCCTTTCTGCATGGCCTCGTCTCTCTTTTCAAAAATGTTGAGAAACAAGTCTTGGGTAAAATGATGCCCAGTCCCTAGGTATACATGCTACAGCAATAATTATTGGGGAAACCGACCTGACTAAGATTGTTGATAGTGGTTACAGCAGGAGCCGACTGAATCTCATAATGGTAGATTGCAACCCTCTGAATGTTGAGTATGAGCGTCTGCGAAACAACTGTATGAATGACCTGGGGGGTAAGAGAGTTATCGAACTACTTTTGATTTCCAGACACATTAGCAAGTTTGGCCCTCTTTCGCGCCCTAATAATACCAGCGTCAACGCCATAAAGATTACAAAAGTGAATTTATAGCCACATTAAGTCGGGATTGCCGGGGTTACGTGTCGGAAATGGATGTCGTGCTTCTTCGTGCTGTCTAATTGATATTCATGAGATAATCAAGACCCAGATAATGCGAGAAGACACACCCAAGCTTCTCCAAAATTTCTTTTCGGCGTATTTGGTGCTCCCGCACGGGAATGATATTTGATCGCACAAATGAGTCAAAGAACGGCCGATTCTCTGGCTTGAGGCTGCGCAACACCTCCTCATGCTCCGGCTGAAGATCGCCATTTGGGAGCACCGAGGGTCTATTGCGTAAAGGTAAAGTATAAGTGAGGAGGTAGGATATCCACACTTTCAATGGGTCCTGAACTCTGCTGTGATTTCGGCCAGAGGGGGGATCAAGGTATGTCGCGATCATCGAGTCAAGAAACGCGACTAGTGTGGGGAATCGAATGTTGTCGGGGAAAGGCGCGAGAGACAACGAGCGACTTTTATCCTGGATGTTGAAATAGAATTGTGACTGAGGGTGGATGAAGATGAAATCTGGGTCGTCGGGTGTGCGGTTACATGCGGCAATCGTCGTCTCGAGGCACACAGAGTGGGGAAAGGCTTTCGGCTGGCTTGGGTTGAACACGATCTTTTCTACATGGTGTGGGTTGAAGCCAGAGAAAAGGCGACATTCAAGTGATTTCGTGATTTGTGTCGAAGCGGCGTGGAGATCTTGATCTGCAACGAGTAGTTGGAGGGTGTCAAAGCAGGTGGGAACGAAGTGGGCGAACGCCAGCGCATCTTCTCCCCAGATCAGACATTCGATATTTGCGTTAGAGAGCGCCCGGGCATACTTTAAACGATTTTCCTGCACCTCTTGGGACCATGGGCTGGAGTCGTAGAGTTCTAGCATTTGGTAGTGATGCGTCTTGCAGATTAGAAATGCAGCACCGCTTTTTATACATGTGGGTTCATTATTGGTATTTATTTGTGTCTTGATGTCGCAACCGCTTCTGTCCCAACACGGTAAGTTTGCGGTAAGTCGTGCTTGCCCTCGCCCTCCAAGGTTGAAGGTTTCGACGACGGCTCCTTACAGGTCCGGGAGCCCATACCATATACAACGTGAAGG